TTCCAAAAACTTAAGACCAGTCGACCAAGCGTTCGAGTTGTAGGTGACCAGAGGAGAAATGTGAAAGAGCCTTGCTAACTCCTGGGGGGGGCGGCGGCCAACCGCGAGCAGAGTGGGAGGGGTCGCTCTCGTCGGGGGCTGCATCCCGCGCATCCGCGGCGCCGACGAGAGGCTGGGCACGACCAAAGGGATCGCCCACCCGCATGTCTGCGGCATTGGTCAAGAGCCCGCTACCCGCGCCTCCCTTTAGGGTTTGCCGTTGTGGCTCCCCAAGGACGCCAGTGCGCCCCAAAAACGGTGGCCACCGCCTCTGCCCCTTTAGGGTCTGCCCCACGGGCTCCCCAAGGACACCTTGGTGCCCCGATGCCATCCTTCGCCAATCGTAAGAGTTGTAGGTGACCTGAGAGAAAAGTGAAAGAGCCTTGCTCACTCCTGGGGGAGGCGGCGGCCAACCGTGAGCAGCGTGGGAGGGGTCGCTCTCGTCGGGGGCTGCATCCCGCGCATCCGCGGCGCCGACGAGAGGCTGGGCACGACCAAAGGGATCGCCCACCCGCATGTCTGCGGCATTGGTCAAGAGCCCGCTACCCGCGCCTCCCTTTAGGGTTTGCCATTGTGGCTCCCCAAGGACGCCAGTGCGCCCCAAAAACGGTGGCCACCGCCTCTGCCCCTTTAGGGTCTGCCCCTCGGGCTCCCCAAGGACACCTTGGTGCCCCGATGCCATCCTTCGCCAAGAAGCCCCGTCAAAGACTGGACTCTGTGTTGTGGGCGCGAGCTGCTTCGACCAAGGCTTTGACCTTCTCGGGGTCCCGCTGCTTTGGGCGTGGTTCGCCTGGGCCCCCAGCGGCTGAAGGAGCAGCGCCAGCGCCAGCAGCGCCTGCAGAGCTCGCTGACCCAGTGTTGGCCGTCGCACCTGCCGTCTCCGCTGGTGCTGCTTCTGGTGTCGGCGCCGCGCCTCCACTTGAGTCCTTGCGGGCCCTCTTGCTGGCGAGCCGCTGACGCATGTCTCTAGCTTCTTGCCTGAGCTTCTGGATGTGCTCAGCGCTTGGCCCGATAGCTGCCAGGATGGCCTGCTGGATCTGTGACGCCATGTTGGCTTTGAGGTTTGTCCAGCTTTCCCTGTCCGCATCGTCGAGCTCCAGGTCCGAAAGGTCGAGCACGGACCCATCCACGATCTCAACGGTGTCGATTCCCCCTTCGCCCGTGAGCAACTCCGACAAGTTGATCTGGGAGCCTGCTGGCTTCGCGGCTGCCTCCTCTGGTGGGCAAGGCCGGTGCTCGCCTGCACGCTGAAGCTCAACCCGTAGCTCATCCTTCCACGCCTGCTCCGCGTCGTAGGCCTCGACGGCTGCCTCCGCTGTGGCGGCCCGCAGCTCCTGAAGCCACCGTGCCGCCTCGTCCTCCTTCGCCACGCACTCTCGTAGCCACTTCTGGGCCCTGCGGCAGGCCACCCCTTTTGCTGAGACAGTCTCCTCCAGCAGGGGCTCTCTTGGAGGGGCCTTCGTCTGTTGCGGTGGCGCCAAGGCCTGCTGGAGCGCCACCATCTCCGCAGTCGCCGCGTCCCCGACCCTGGCCTTGAGCTCGTCCAAGAGGGCGTCAGTGGTCGGCGGCGAGCCTCGCTGCGGAGGAGTGGAGGTGCGGGGCGGCGCCAATCTCCTAGGCGGCGCTCCCCACTGCGGCCACGTGCCTGGCGGGTAGGGCGGCGACCCCGCACCCGCAGGCGGCTGGCCGCCTGCTCCATGCGGCGGGGAGGCCCACACACCCTGGGCGACTCTCCAAGGCATCTCGTTCGGGAGGAGCGTGGCCTGGCAGGTGTAGCAGAACGTGTTTGTCTTGAAGTTCCATCTGTACCTGCACGCCGAGCAAGTGAGATATCCTTTAACATCCTTCGGCATGGGCTCCTGCAGGAGCTCACTGGAAAGAGAAACGTGCCCGTGCTGGCACAGAGGTTACTGTATCGCTGGATGTGGCCTGGCTGGTAGTGCCAGGAGAAAGCAGGTGGGGCCGCTGGATCCCCTTGCCAGAATCCCAAGTGCTGAGCGAAACCGCTACGGACTTGAGCCAAAATGGCTACGGAGGAGGATGAGGTGGAAAAGGTGAAGGGGGTGAAGGAGGAGGGGAAGGAGGAGGAAAAGCAGGGGAAGGAAGGGGATGCGCTCGGGAGTACTCAGTATAGGCACCATCTCGCGAAATGGGGGGGCGATGAAGGGGGAGGGGCGGCGAGGGCTGCCGAAAGGGGGCCCTTTAGGGTCCCTGAAGTGGCCCTTTCGGGCCCAGGAGGGGGCTTTCAGCCGAAGAAGAACAAACAGCATAAACATAAACCTGTGGCGCTCCGAGTGGATTTCTTGTATCCGCGCTGGGCCCCCCCGGCGGCGCCTCCAGCACCGCCCCTGGCACGCACCGCGCGCCAGGGAGGGATATCCATTGCAGACCCAAGAAATCCGCGCGGAGTGCCAACAGTTTAGATTGATGCTGATTTTTTTATTCTACGGACGCCCCGCAAAGGGCACCCTGCTTCCTCCCCATTTCCCTGACCTTCCAGGAGGGCTAAAGAATACCGCCATGACGTCGAAGTCCAAGGTCCATTCGAGGTGCTCGCTGGTTCTGAGCACTCGGGAAGGTCAGGGAAACAGGGGGGGGTGGGGAAAGACAGGTGCACCCCTTGCGCCCCTCCCCCCACTTGTCGCCCACCATTATCCTTCGGGCCCGAGCAGCGCCGATCCAAGAACTCCGCGCGGAGCCCCGACAGTCTGCGCCTGTGCCTCTTCTTGCGCCCCCGCTCGGCCCCTGGGCGCCCGTGGCGGCGCTGGCGTGCGCCCGGCCCTCCCCCCCCTCTCCTCTCGGTGGTTCAGAGATGGGGTCCTGAGGGACGGGGTCCTACGGACGAGGTGCCTCAAACAGCGTAGATCCACCCTTAGACCTTCACCTATCCCTTAGGGCCAAGGGTGGATCTACACTGCCTGGATCGGATCCGCCCTTGGGTCCTAAGGGTAGCAGGAGATCCAAGGGTGGATCGACGCTCTTTGAGGCACCTCGTCCTCAGGACCCCAGCCGTCAGGGCCCCAGCTTTGAGCCACCGATCCTCGGAGAGCGGGGCGGCGCCGGCGGGGGCCGCCCCGGCCCAGCCTCGCGGAGCGGGGGCGCTCGCCCCTGGCCTCCCGGAGTGCTACAACAACAAACTGTCGGCTACGCGTAGAAGATTAGGTCGGGCATGTCCCTCTACAGGAGGAATATTCAAACATATCAAAAATTTGTCTTGGAACGATTGGTCGATTATTTTTCTGGGAATTTCGAATATGTTTGATTACGCTTGTTTTTTTTCCCAAATCCGCCTGTAGGAGGACATGCCCGACCTAAGTATAAGATGAACCCTTCGCCGCAGTGACCTTTCGGGGCGGGCTCACCGGGGTCCCTCCGATCTTTGATCGCGATGCGATACACTGGGAGCCCGACCACAAGAAACCTTCCACGAGAAACCCAACCCTGAGACGCCAGGGGCGTCCATTGGTTTTTGGTGTGGGAGCGTCACGCTTTCCACAGCAAGACCATCGAAACCCAAAAGACCCAGCGCACCCTGGAGGCAACCAGGGTGTGCCTTGGCATGGGTCTCCACTGTATACTAGTTTCTCATGGAAGCTAGGTCAGGGGCAGAGGGCCCACGCGACGGCACCCCAAGCCACTTGGACTGCGCAAGACCACGGCAGGCATGTAGATGCAAGTCGGGCATGCCCCCCTACAGGGGGAAGGATCAAACATAGTTTTCAAGCAAGGCTGAGGATGATTGTTTGTTTTTGCGTATTGTTCGGTCATCGGTTGACTTCTTGTTTCTCTTTCAAGATCCGCCTGTAGGAAGACGTGCCCGACCTACATTTAGATGTCGAGGTCTTGGTGTTGTTTCTTAGCCCTCTCTGGGAGGTCCAGGAGTGTGGGCCCACGGGACGCCCGCCCCCCCCCTCAGGCCGCCAAGCTCCTGGGACGCCATGGGTTGAGACCGCTCGGGCTCGGGGGCAGCGCTCGGGGGGATAGGCTCCACGGGGTGGACGCAGCGACCCCGACTCGCCCCGCCGTCGCCGACGGGAGATCGACAGCCCGCCCCGCCCAGGAGCGTGCGGCTGGGCTGCCGCGGGCCCAAAAGGATCGCCGATCTAACGGCGGTGTGCTGTCGATTCCTGGTCGGCCTTCGCACCCTGAGCCAGTCCCCCCCCCAACGTTCCCCCTGAGCACCTGTCCTCAAGATGAGCGACGCAGAAAAACGGGGTCGTCTGTTCCGACAATGGCGCGTAAGCGCCCGCGTAAGATAGCGCGTACGCGCCCTCGTCTCCAATCTAGCGTGCCGCGCTGGCGGCCCGCGTAAGTCGCCGCGTAAGGTTGCTATGGCATCTCGCGTGAGACCCGTTTCCTCCAGGAGGGAATTATAGAGATAGGCACAAACAATCGTCGATCCCCACGCAAATATTAGGAAATTTTGGAAGTGGTGGGGAAGACAAACATCCAAACCACATGTAAACACCGATACAGTTCACACACTATTGGGACTTATGCCTGACGATGTGTGTTTGTGTGTTTGTGTGTGTATGTGAATGTGTGTGTGTGTGTGTGTTTTTGTGTGTGTGCGCGCGCGCGTGCGTGCGTGCGTGCGTGCGTGCGTGCGTGCGTGCGTGCGCGTGCGTGCGTGCGTGCGTGCGCGTGTGTGTGTGTGTGTGTGTGTGTGTGTGTGTGTGTGTGTGTGTGTGTGTGTGTGTGTGTGTGTGTGTGTGTGTGTGTGTGTGTGTGTGTGTGTGTGTGTGTGTGTGTGTGTGTGTGTGTGTGTGTGTGTGTGTGTGTGTGTGTGTGTGTGTGTGTGTGTGTGTGTGTGTGTGTGTGTGTGTGAGTTTTTTGTGTATGCGTGTGTGTATGCGTGTGTGGTGTGTGTATGTGTGTGCGTGTGTGTCCGTGCCCCCGGGCCCCTTGGATGTGGCTCGTGGATCCTCTCCACCTCTGGGCCGCCGCTGGTTGAAGGGCAGGTCGCTCTCCTGGGCATCCAGCTGGTGTGGACCATGGACTTCCAGGAGAGCCCTCGCCGTCGCGCCTCGCGGAGCTGCAGGAGGATGAAGAAAAGGAGGAGAAACAGAGGGGAACAGGAGGGGGAGAAGGAGGAGGAGGAGGATGAGGAGAAAGAAGAGGAGCAGGAGGAGGAGCAGGAGCAGGAGCAGGAGGAGGAGGAGGAGGAGGAGGAGGAGGAGGGGGAGGAGGAGGAGGAGGGGGAGGAGGAGGAGAGGAGGAGGAGGAGGGGGAGGAGGAGGAGGAGGAGGAGGAGGAGGAGGAGTAGGAGGAGGAGGAGGAGGGGTACCCTCGTGTTCTTCGTGTCTTTTTTGGGGATACTCTTGTTCAGAGACGAACAAACAGGCGTAGACATGATAAACTTCTGGCGCTTCGCGCGGATTTCTCGGGTCGGCGCCTGGGGCCCTTCTTTGGGTTCGTCTGCACGTGCTCCCCCCCCTTCTGTTCGATCCGCTGTGCCTTCGCGCAGGCTGGGGCGCCTCGAAGCGTTCATGGCTGTCCGGGGGATCCCCTCCTCCTCCTCCACCCCCTCCTCCTCCTTGTCCTCCTCCTCCTCCTTCTCCTCACTTTCTCAACCTCCTCCTTCTCCTCCTCCTCCTCCTCTCCCTCCTCCTCCTCCTCCTCCTTCTCCTCCTCTTTGCGGCCACTTCTGCGATCAGGAGCAGCTCCCTTGTAAGCCTCGTCTTCTGACCTTCCGTCGCCCCTCCTTCTGGAAACTTGTGTGACAGACTCAAGGACCGCGCAACAGCGCCGGCGAGAGTTGGGATTCTGGGCCGTGGGCGTTAGGGCCTCCCAAGGATATGTACAGTGGCTCGGTAGTTTAAGTGTCGTGCTCTGTCGTTGCCTCCTGTATCGTTTAGTTCTCTTTCTTTTCGTCCTCTTTCGTTTCGTCATCACCACTTTCGCCGTTTCGTTTCGTGTGCGTTAGTTTGGCCATGCGTAGTTTCACTTATTGTCGTTTTCTTCTCGTTCGTTTCGTTCTCTTTCTAGTCGTCAACTTTCGTTTCTGCTACCTCCGTTGGTTCGTCACCGAGTTTTTGAGGCGACGGGGGGCTTTTTGTTTCAAAGGAAACGGTGCCATTCGGTTTCGCTGTTGTTATTGGGCCTGTTGCTGTCTGCTGTCTATTGTTCCATTCGCCTCTCTTCCATTCGCTTTGGTTTCACCTGCTTTTGTCTCATCCTCTTGTGTGTGGTTTTGTTTCATCCGCTTTTGGTTCGACTGCATTAGTTCCCCCCGCTTTTGTTTGATCTGCTGTTTCTTCGCACAGGCTGGGGTGCCTTGAGGCGATCATGCTTGTCTGGTAGATTCCCCTCCTTCTGAAACAAATGAGACAGACTCAAGGACAGCGCAACAGCGCCGGCGAGGTTTGGGATTCTGGGCCGTGGGCTATGGGGCCTCCCAAGGATATTTACAGTGCTGGCTGCAGGGAATTCGAAGGGACATGAGGTTTCTTTCGTTTCGGCTGTTGTAGTTTCGTGGTATTTGGTTGCCTCCTGTTTCGTTTACCTTCCTTTCGCTTCGTCCTTGTCGTTATCGTTCGTTTTGTTATATTTCGTCGTGCGCTGTCTTTTGGCCCTGCGTTGTTTCGTTTGTTTTTTTTTTCGTTTCGTTTGATTGTTTATGTTTTGTCGTCTTTCGTTTCCGTTGCCTTTTGGTTCAGCCTGCATTCTTTCGTCACCGACTATGTGATGAGTTGGGAGTAGATGGGATCGGAGTTGTGTGCCACATCGCCGATGCATCGGCGATGCGGCTCGATGTGGAACCCGATTTTCTCCACGCTGTCGGCGCCGATGCGCCGCCGATGCATCGCCGATGCATCGCCGACGTCGCCGATGCATCGCCGATGCATCGCCGATGCGGCGCGATCCGCCGACTCCATCCACTCGGACCCCATTTGGGAGGCCTCCGTAGTGTTGCTGCTCCCCTAGGGTTGGTTGGGAATGGGGGGGGCGGAGCGTAATGCGCTGGATGCGGCTGGTTTCGGCCCCGCCTCCGAGTACGCGCATCGACGCACGGTCGCTCCCCCAGCCTTCACCGGTGCCGGGGAGAACCAGCTGCTGCATCAGCCGAGTCGATCTACGGTGGGGGCGTTCGTCAAGAAATGTGCCTGGGAGGCTCCAGACCTTGAAGGATTCCTCATCTCAGGAGGACGGCGGTGGTATGCATGGCCAAGCCTCAGTTGGTAATGATCCCACTTGCTTCTAGACCCTGGATTCCTTATCCCCAAGGGTTCCTTCTCGAATGCCCTCGCCGTGTCCTTCCTTGCCCACCGCTGCATGCATCCGAGCCGATACGGCCGCGAAAGTGGGTTATGGCCCACCGCGCTTTGACGCGACACGCTATCCACGTCCCCGGTCCCAAGGGTCAACGTCCTGCGCTTTCCCGAGCCTCCCGCCCTGCCATCCGCTCGCAGGGCACCGCGTGTCGCTGGGGCCGCCGCGGCGACACGCTGCGCGAACGTTTCCGACCGTTTACCCCGCCTATGGTCCAGGACGTCGGCGGGGGGGGTCCTGGCAGGAAGGATGTGAGGTTGGAAGATATGAGGATATAGATGATGCTGTGTAAGGCAACGCCAGCGAGACAGCGAGCTGCGGGCATATGGAGGAAGAGGGGGGAGATGAAAGGGGAATGAGGAGATGAGGAGCTAAGCCGGACGACTGACTCAACTGACCTAGGTCACCCAGGGACGCGAAGATAATCGCGCTTCGCGGCGCGTCGTGGCCTAGGCCCCGTCTGCCCCGAGGGGACCTTCGGCTCATGGTCCTGGGGGCAAGGCTTGACACCTCCAGTGCGTGCCGTTCTGCCGTCTCCGAGGCCACGGGGAGCCAGGGATGGCCGGGCCCCCCCCCCTGGCAACTGGAGCTCGGCCAGAGCTCCGAGGGGGTTTTGACTGCGGACTTCCCGGCCGGCCTCCCGATGGGCACGTCATCTCCACTACACGTATCAAGCAGTGGCGAAGCGTCCTGGCTCACCTATAGCCATACCAAACAATGTTCTGAGAACCTTTTGTGGTTTCCACGAAATGTTCTTAAAACATTTCTGGCGGAGCCTGTCTTGTTTTATCACATCGGGTTTATGTTCTAAGAACCTTGTTTTTCTTCTTGGAACATGTTTGGGTTCTAAGAACACTTCGTGGTAAGACTATAGGAATGCCGGGACGGTCGGTCCCTGCTCGAACGTAAGAGTGACCATTCGCCGGAGTGATCTTTGGTGCGGGCCCACTGGGGTCCTCCGATCGCCGAGCGCGATGCGATAGTGACGTTTTGGGCGCTTGTGTTTGGGGACACCCCAAAAAACTGCGCACCAAAGCTCACTCTTACCCAGGGTCACTCTGGATGTGTAGCCGGGACATGGCTCAGGAAACACGTCGGCGGAATGGCAGTGTCGAAGGCCTGCACGTTCGCGCCGCCATCAGGATTGCGGGGCGCCTCCATCCAGCGAGGTTGAGCCACGACTATCGTGCAGGTGGTGATGCTTATGCCTATTAGGCGTACGTGATACCACCAGCACATCAGATTCGTCGTCCTTCGAATGCGGACTGCTGTGGCGGTGCACTGTTTACGTTTAGATGCTAAGTCATGGAAATTCATGCCCTCCTTGAGTTGAATAGACATCAGCGAATAGCGCCCAATAGCGCGCGCACCGCGTCTAATAGCACCCAGTGGCGCCCAACAGCGCTCAGCAGCGACCAACAGCGCCCAAGGAGCGCCCAACGGCGCCTGCTGTGTGCCCTGTGAGGAAGGTGCATTACCTCCGCCGTACGCGCTAAGGGGCTTTCTTGGACGCGCTATCGTGCCTCGTGGGGACGATCAGGAGCCAGACCCCCGAACGTCGACCCCCAGAGGTCTGGACCCCTTGCCTGGGACTGCTTTCTCCTCCCGAGTCCCTCCTTTGACGGCCCCGAGGCCCGGCAAGGGCCCCCGGAGGCCGAACAGAGCGACACAGATCGCCGTCGCGAGTTTCTCACAACCCGAGACGACGAGCTGGTCGGCCGGCCTGGTCTTTGAGATCGCCGGGGTCGTCGATACCGTCGTCGGGGTCTTCGTGGTCGCCGAAGTCGCCGGGGTCGTCGAGATCGTCGGGGTCGTCGAGGCCGTCGTCGAGGTCGTTGCCGAGATCTTCGGGGTCGCCGAGACTGTCGCCGAGACCATCGCCGAGATCGTCGTCGTCGTCGAGGTCGTCGTCGTCGTCGTCGTCGTCAGCGTCATCAGCGTCTCGGGACCCTGACCTTCCAGAGAGCTATTTTTTAGCACTGGAGGCCTGAAAACCTAAAAAGCTGAACGAAACGGCCTAGAACCAAGACGTAGAGTAGCTCTGGGATAGGTTTCTAAGTCGGGTGCCATTTTTTTGCCCTCCTGGAAGGTCAGGGGAGCTGCCGTGAGTTGCTCTCGAACGTGCGCGGCATCCCTGGGGGCCGGGCCGCTCCCTCTCTCAGGCCAGGCGGGCGGGCGGCCGGGTGGGGCGCGCGCGCCGCGGAGCGGCGCGCGCAAGCCCCCCCCCCCACTTTTCCCCCGAGGACGCGCTGATGCGCAACGCTCGCGACAGGGACAAGACCATCATGGTCACGGGCCGGGCACAGGGCGGCCCAGCGTCGCCCTCCTCCTCCTCCTCCTCCTCCTACTCCTCCTCCTCCTCCTCCTCCTCCTCCTCCTCCTCCTCCTCCTCCTCCTCCTCCTCCTCCTCCTCCCCCTCCGTCTCCTCGGGGCAGGATCGGCTTCGAGGTTCGATGCCTTCGAGGGTTTCCGCCAGGCGTCCGCGGCTGCTGCAGCGTCGGGCTGCCTTCGGCGGCTGGGCCCCCGCCGCGAGCGAGCGTCCCACGGGCGCCTGGATCGTCCCGAACGGCCGCCGGAGAGCCGAGCTACGACCGGGCAGCGGCGACCGCAGGGGGGGAGGGGGGCTCCTCCTCTCTTCCTCCTCCTCCTCCTCCTCCTCCTCCTCCTCCTCCTCCTCCTCCTCCTCATCCTCCTCCTCCTCCTCCTCCTCCGCCTCCTCCTCCTCCTCCTCCTCCTCCTCCTCCACCTCCTCCTCCTCCTCCTCCTCCTCCTTCCCGATCTGTCCTGGGGTGCGTTCCGACTAGAAGTTCGGAGGGGATCCAGCCCCGGGGGGGGGACAGGCGCAAGGGGGAACGCATCGGCCCCCAGTCGTCCCTCCATCGCCGACGGGTGTCCGACAGCCCGCCCAGGAGCGCAGGAGCGTGCGAAGGCGCTGCCAGGGGCACGTCGCCGATCCATCGGCGAGGTATCGCCGAGTCCACGTCGACGACGTGTTCCCCCTCCACTGATCGGCCAACCTGAGCTGGTCCCCCACCGACGTTGCCCCCTCGAGGCTTTCCAGGGCGACGCCGAGCCCAGATCCTCGTGCGGATGTCTGCTCTCTCTGGGCCTTTTTTGGGTTCGGCCAGATGGCGATGGGGGCATCAGGACATGGGGGGATGAGTATCCGGTACCATTTCGTTGGGGTACAATTTGTACCTTCTCTGCGGGTTGCAAGTGCAAATTGTACCTTCTCCCCCCCGTGAACATCCTCGCACATGTCGCGGACGTTGTCAAAAGTACGATTTGTACCTTGTCTGCGTGGCGTCGGTACAAATTGTACCTTCTCCGTGGGGCGTACAATTTGTACCTCGGTTGCGCCTCTCTCCCCATCTGGACTTATCCCCCCATTTGCATCCCGCCAACCTGAGCTGGTCACCCACCAACGTTGCCCCCTCGATGCTTTCCACGGCGCCGCCGTGCCCAGATCCTCGTGCGGATGTCTGCTCTCTCTGGGCCTGTTTGCTTCGTATCTCTCTCGGCCTTCGGGGCCGGGTCTCTGGGCCCCCGGGCAGAACACACATCGTGACGTGAAGCATGCGCTGCACGTGCCCATGCGTGGGCCACAGCATGCAGTGCGAACACACATCGCGAACTACATGCCTTCCGTCGGCGGCGAGGCGGACGCCATCCGCGCCAGCGCGAGGCTGAAAGGGGGGCACTGGCGGACGAACTGCCCGGCATGTGCGAGAGGCGGGGAAGGAAGGCGGGAGCGCGTGGCGAACGACGAGAGCACCGTGTCTCAAGTGAGAGTTGCTGTATGGCCAGCGGCTCGGCGGCACGCTGGCCCTCGGCGGGGGTCGGGAGCTCCTGGGCCGAGGACTGGGAAGGCCTGCTCGGTGCCGCGCTACGCCTCTCGGGTGTCGGGCAGACGGCGCCGCGGCACGCCTGCAGCGCCGGTTTTGATACATGCTCCGCGTGCGGACCATGTCTTAAAAAGAAAGAGTTGATTCATAAATGCAAGGATGAGTTGATGCATTAATTTATTCATAAATCAGTCATGTATCCAAATTCCTATATATCAAAAATCCTATGTATTAAAGCCCGCCCTGTAGGGCGAGCAGATGTTGAGCTGGATGTTGTTGTGGGAGGTGGGCTCCGAAAGGGGGGTCGAAGGCCAATTCGAAAGCGCGCGCAGGTCCAGACCGGGAAGAAGTTCGCGCAGATGCTGGCAGACCTCGTGGACATGTGCCTCACCGATTTGGGGTCCAAGGCGCGGACCTTCTCCCCTCCCCCCGACACCCTCAGCCAGCCCCTTTGCGTGGGGCTCTGTGGGCACACGTTCTGCCCGCTCTGCCCGCAGGCCTCTTGCTGTTGGCCACGTTGTGACCCCATGCTTGCCCCTACGGAGACGACACGCTGGGGGAGGAGGGTGCAGGAGAAAGATGAGCTGTCAGAGTCCGTCGGCTACGGGGCCGCGGAAGGCAAGAGTAAAACGCAGCAGCAGGAATGGAGGAGGAGGAGGAGGAGGAGGAGGCGCAGAGGATAAATCAGAGAGGGAGGCAAAGGGAGTCGGAGAGGGAGAGAAAGGTTGAGAAGAAGTCAAGACAAGGCGGCGATAGATTGGCATCAGGCTGAATTGGTTGTCTGTACCGCAGAACGGTGGGGTCTACAACCGGATTTTGCCAGTATATACCCTGGTCAGTATACCGGCGTGCTGTCGACAGGGAGCATGGGGCTGCAGGAGTTCGTCGGCCCCGGAACGGTGCGGTGACCACGCCGCGTTGTGAGTCCGTCGAGGTTCGGCGGGGTTGCCACGCGGTCTTGTGACTCGGGTCGGCCGTTCTCCGAGGACGTCTCATGCCACCCAGGCCTCCGTCGGAGGCCCGAGTGGCACGAGACGTGCGCTGGCGCCTCGCGCGAGAGGTCCACCGCGAGTGGCACCCGCGCCCACCACGTGAGGGCCGAGCCATCGAAGCCGCGACTCTTCGGCCGAGGGCGGCACCCGCGCCGCTGCGCGGCGCGCGGCGCCTCCTCCCGAGGTCCCACGGAGACCGTGCGGCGGCGGGCCGCGCGGTGAGGCCTCCCGCAGGGTTTCGGGGCCCCCGCGCGGTGCGTCGCCGGGCGGAGGTGGGGCCCCTGAGGGAGCGCGGAGTGCCTCGGCTCCGCGCGTCCTCCAATGGGAGGGGGAATGGCCTCCTCCTCCTCCTCCTCCTCCTCCTCCTCCTCCTCCTCCTCCTCCTCCGCCTCCTCCTCCTCCTCCTCCTCCTCCTCCTCCTCCTCCTCCTCCTCAGTCGTGGGCCTTCCTGGGCCGCACGGCACGCTGGTCCGAGCCCGTGCGCCAAGCCGTCCCAGTTCCGTCCCCAGCCCGTGCATCCTTGCGCCCTGAGCCCCATTCGAGCAGGAGCAGGGGCCATTCCGCTGCTCCCGATTCGAGTCGATTCGGTTTCCGGGATTCCGATCTCGATTCGCTTCGACTTTGGCTTGCGATTTTGGCTTGGACTTCCTCGTGTATGTACGGCTCGGCTTGGGCCGGCGGACGTCGATTCCGATGCCTTCCGATCTGCTTGCCGATTTTGGCCGAGGTCTGCCGATTCGACGTATTTCGATGGCCGATTCGGGTGCCCGATTCGAGTTCGGGTCATTTTACAGGAGGCACGACACCGCGCCACTCTTGCCGCATTTTCGGTTTCACGCGTCTCTGGCTCTGTGGCTGCGACGACCAGTGAGCAAGCTCCAGGACCTCACGTTTGCCTGTGTAAGCTGCGCTGTCGCTCCAGGAACAAAGCCAGCAACGGCACCGCCCTAACGATGACGACCCCGCGCACCCGCCGCCCGCCAACAGGCGCCAGGGGCAACGATAGGGGGTATGGCCCAGGGGGGGAGGCATCGACCCCCACTGGCCCATTTACCGCCGATACGGGCCCGATAGCCCACCCCCGCCCAGGAACGTGCGAATTCACTATCGGGGGCGCCTCCGGCGCCGCTGTTCGGAACCCGATGCCCGTCCGCTGGGCTATCTTGGGGGCTCGACAGGCCGTGCGGGCCCCTGCTGGACTGCGGCCTTGCTGGTAGATTGTGTCGTCTCGCTTTTTTTTTTGGGTGTTGTTCTCTCTCTCTCGCTTTCTCTCTTTCATGTCCGTTTTTTTTGTTTCTCGCTTTCTCGCTTTCTCTCTCGCTTTGTTTCTCTCTTTTTTTTTTCTCTCTCTCTCTCTCTCTCTCTTTCGCTTTCTCTCTCGTTTTTGTTTGTTCTCTCTCTCTCTCTCGCGTTCTCTCTTTCATGTCCGTCGTCCCTCGTGTGCCGCGCTCCGTGCCTCTCTAGTCCTGCCTCCCCGCAGCTGTCCAGCGGGAGCGGGAGAAGAGCACACGCGGCACGGTGCGTGAGCCTTTGGAGCTCCGCGCGGAGTGCTTGGACCCGCGCTGGGCCCTCGCTTGCCTGATCGTTTTCTGTCAGGAGGGAACGAAACACACAGACAGACTTGATCGGTGATTCCCCAGAAAATGTGGGGAAATATGGGAAGTGGGGGGGAAGACAACCCCCCCCCCAAAAAAAATAGGCAAATATGTGGAATCCTTTTATTTGTGTGTATTTATTTGTGTGTCCCAGGGCCCCTTCATTCTGATTCGTTGTGCTCGTAATCGGCGCGGGCCCTCGCACCCCCCCCCCCGCATGGAGTAGATCTTGGCTGTTTGGGGCGCCTGTTTCGAGCAGGCGGAGTCTCTCCCCCAGAGGACGCACGGTTCCAAACAGTCGCTCCAAGCAGAGGTCTGGAGCCAGACCCCCCCCCCTCCCCCCCTCTTCCGTCCAGTACAATATAGAAACGCCGAATAAGAAAACGTTCACCTTCTTTCTACTCGTCTGTGTACTTGTTTCTTGCACTCGGCAGACTTAAGCGTCCCTGCCTACAGGGCCCCCTCTCAGTGGGAAGTCGTTTTCATGAGCTAATTCGACCAAACTTGTCTGCTCGTCTGGGAACTCGGAGAAACTTCAAGTCCGATTGTCATTTCCGTTGCTTTGGTATATGTTTGTCCTTCTTCTTCCCCTCTGACGGGAGCATGCGATGGTGCCGCCGGCGCGAGCGAACCAACCCGGGCTCGCGAGATGAACCGGACGAAGTTCGAGACGCTCGTCACCATCCACGTGCATCAGAAGGACTTGTTCCAGGAAGTCTCTAAGAAGGCCACCTTGCCCGACTCCCTGCCCCCCGTTCGCCCCCACCACCCGTCTCCCTCTTCCCTCCTCCCTTGCCTTCCTAACCTTAGAAAGTCCAGGGTTCGCTAGGGATTGGTTTCCTTCCAAAACAACCGAAGCCCTCCCGAAACCCTCCCGAAATCCTTTGGAAACCCTCAGGGAATGGTTCCCGGAGTCTCCTCGAAGGGTTTCTGGACGGTTTGGGTAGCTTTTCGTCGTTTGGGGGAAACCAGCCCTTAGCGAACCCTGGGCTTTCAATCCTACCCCCTCCGTCCCTCGGTTGCAGGAGGAGGAGGGGGAGGAGCAGCAGCAGCAGCAGCAGCGGTGGCAGCAGGACTAGGCGGACGAGGAAGCGAGGTGGGGGGGGAGGCGATCTGCATCGTCCCGTTGCGGGCGCGAAGCTGAGCTGCGCGCGCGGGCTGCAGACGCGCCCAGCCCGCGAGTCGAGGGAGCATCGCTGCGTAGTGGGCCTCTCGGGCGCGCGGGCTCGTGCCGCGTGCTATCCTCGTGGTCCCGAGCAGGCCACTCGGGTCAACCCCCTGCGGCGCGAAGACGACCGTGCTTCGCGCGTCGCGGCCTGGGCTGGAAGGAACGCTGCCCTTCTCCGATGGGGGGCCCGCGAGGGCGCGACGGCGGCCGTGTCGGGCATCGCGGGCGCGCTGCGTGGAGGTAAGCGGTGCGCTCCAGCAAAGGGCTTCGCCTTCGGGGTCCGAACGAGTTGCCATCCCTTCATCGGTGGAAGGCGGCGGAAGTGAAACGGAGGCGGCTCCGCCGGAGGAAGGCGGTGGAAGTACAACAATGCGTTCCCCAGAGATGGCAGCCTTTTTGGGGGTCAGGGTTTCCAGAACTGGCCAAATGTTCCAGGATACGAGTGCGGTCGAGTAGAGCTCGCATTGCACGAAGGCGAAAGTCGAGAGCGAGAGCGAACATGTTCAAACCAGCCCCAATCGCTTGATCGATCGTTTGAGACACGTGATTGGCGGCGCAGTGATTCGAGCATTCGAGTGATGGTATGTGCACCCCCTCGCGCTGGAGGAAACGAGCACGACGTGCCAGCAAGACGACTAGCGGATAAATCAAATAGCAGTAGTACCGCTCTCGTGCCGCGGCACTTTCCTTTGGTCACAGAGGCGCGGGGAAGTGCGAGAGGAAGGCAAAATTACCTTCTAGTCTATGCTGTGCACAAGGTTGCTTCCCGAGTATGCAGACTGCCTCTTTCGGCCATGCATTTTCGACCCAGCCTTTCCTTTAACACTTCTAAAACTTCAGGCGTAAATGCCCAAGGCTGCGCATCCTTACATGTATCCTTACACTCATTTTGAATGGCGGAGGACACGTGAGTGAACGCGACAAGACACAACATGCATGCCGCACGCTTGACACAATAGGACAGGCAATCGAGTCCCAACGTGAAGCAAGCGTAAGGCGCGAGTGCGAGTTGAACGCAGGATAATTGACGAAACTGTGATGCTGAAAACAGCCCACATGGTACGGAAGTGGTGACGTGCATCCACACATTTTCAAAACGCATCCCACTGTGGTGCAGTATGTAGAACCCACGATTCTCGGGCGGGTTCTTTCAGTTGAGAAAGTGTCCTTACCGCCCAGTGGTCGGTCGCAACGGATACGCCACAGGTCTCGTTCAGGGTACGGCCGTTCCTGTTGGATAGACACGTCAAGCACATCAATTACGCAATGTAGCTTTTTACTTGCTCCTGCTTTCATTTCTGGGTGGTCCCGCTGTCCAAGTCTTGTCGCCCTGCAGCTCCCTCGTTGCGTGTCCTGCCGCTGCAGTTCGCGTCGTCCCTCTGCGTGTCCTCGCAGGGATGTGCGATGTGCGCTCCTCTGCGCCAGTTCCGCGTGCCGCTCTTCACCCGCTGTCCTCTCCCCGCCCCGTGTGTGTGTGTGTGTGTGTGTGTGTGTGTGTGTGTGTGTGTGTGTGTGTGTGTGTGTGTGTGCGCGCATGTGCGCGCGTGTGTTCCCCTTGTCTCCTCCTGCTCTCCCTAGCTTTAAGTCGGGCATCTCCCTCTACAGGAGGAGTATGTATTCAAACACATTAAAAATAGGTTGAGGGCGACTTTCCTTATTCATCTCATAACTACGTTTGCTTATGTTGAGACTGTTTTCCTACACAATCCGCCTGTAGGAGGACATGCCCGACCTAACCCTAGCTCTGCATGGAAGGGTGGCACTCGCTCTGGGTCGAGCGAATCTGTACACGTGATGGCATGCCAGCTGGAGGCATCTGAGCCGCATGAGATTGAGTCTGTTTCTTTCAGTCTATCACCGTCCGCCAAACCACCCCAACCAAACCCGACGGCACCGATCTGTCCTCCATTTCCAGTGCGGGGGGCCGGGGAACACTTAACAACAAACACATGCATCCCGTACCCCGCCCCCCCCCCAGTCCGAAATTCGGGTCTTCGGGTTGGGTTGGTGGTCTGGCAGGTAGCAAGTTTAGGGGAAGGCTAGCGGAGCGGCTTCCCACGCGGACTCTTAAATAGGATTGCGGTCCCCCAGGCCCTTCCAAAGTTAGAATTATATTGTAGGTGTTCTGCTGAGCCTTTGGGGAGTCCAGCGGAGAGGCGTCTCACAGCGGACCCGCGTGGGATTCAGCAGCCCCCAGGCGTGGGGATATCGTTTGCTTCCGGGCCCGTGGGAGGCCCAGCAGTGCGGCGGATTTGAACGGAACGTGAGTTCGCCAGGTTGCGTAATTTTTTGAGGGATGCAGTCGGGACGCCGAAGAAGGAGCCTTTTTCGTTGAGTTAGGTTCTCCTTGGGACTTCCATGGGCAGTCGAAGTGTAACGTACGGAGAAAAGAGGACCTCGCTCTTTAGTTGGTCGGGCCGGACGAAAGGGGTGGATTGGGAAAGAGGGGGGTACGAAATTTGCTGCATGCAGCTGGTTTCGGCCTCACCGAGGGGCCCATTCCTCGATACATAGCCGCCTCCGGCGCCGGCAGGCGCCGGGAAAATCAGCTACGTGAGCTGATTCTCACCCCCCCCCTTTGCTATCCCCCCCTTTCGCCCGACCTGAGTTAGGGTTCCTCGTGGCAGCGTTTCGACGGTGCGTCTCTGAGTTCTGGGAGGGCCGTCGAGCGGAGCGGCGGCGGCAGGTGAAGGAGGGCAAGGTCAAGGACCACAACGACTTCGAGTGGCTCAAGCAGACGCGCGTCTACTGGAAGCAGGAGCCCGGGGCGCCCGTCAGAGGATGGGCGGCGACCGCCCAGGCGATCGTGTTTTGACAGTGGAGGCCCACGCCAAGAACCATCCTGCTTGCCTCCAGGGTGCCCTGGGTTTCTTGGGTGTCGATGGTTTTGCTGCGGAAGGCGCGGCGTCCCCACACCAGAAAGCGATGGGCGTCCTGGAGTCTCAGGGGTGGGTTTCTTGTGGGAGGTTTCTTGTGGACTGGCCTCCACCGTATTCATTGTTTTGCCGATCGGCGCGGGCCCTCGCACCCCATCGCGCACCCCCACCCCTGGAGTAGATCTTGGCTGTTTTGGGCGCCTGCTTCAAGCGGGTGGGGTCTCCCCCATAGGACACATGGTTGCGAACAGTCGCAGTCAGCAGAGGTCGGAGCCAAACCCCCCCTCCCTCCCCCCCTTTCCAACCAGTGTCGAAGCGCCGCATAAGAAATCGCTCACGAGAATGGCGGCAACCACTCAGACCCCAGTGCGTCGCGCAAAAGATCGTGACGGGCGTTTTCGGGCGATGTCTTGTCTGGGTTGTTGGTGTGTGGGGCCTGGTGCCTTAAGAGAAAACGACCTACGCGCTGAGAGAAAGAAAGCAGTCTTGGGGATGGGGGTCGACACCTCCAAGCGCCCCGCAGTGGACAGTAAAGCACGACGTCGAAGGTCTGAGTGTACGCCACCACCAGCTCTGACCAGGCCCAGCCCGAGCCTTGGATTACACATGCTCTAACGTCTGCACGTCTTGTGCCACCCAGCGAAGCCCAGCAACGAACGTAGTGGCACAGGAGGAGGAATATATAACGGACAGCAGCTGTCTGTAAAAAAGGCCAGACTGCTTACGTGGTCACAAGCAAGGGGAGACGCCAACGCGTTCGACTAGCCGAAGGATCAGGCACAACATTAAGAATGTAATCAGTGGGTCCAGTGCGCAGCGCTGGAGTAATCCGCGGGCGTCGCCCGTCGCACCGCCGCGTCGGGTTGCACTTCCTGGGAGTCTGAATTCCGACTCGGTCCTGGTGCCTAGGCCAGCCCTGTTTGGTCGAATCCGATTTAACCCCGTGCAGTCTGGCTCAATCCCATAATCGTCTTTAATCCAGCTTGGTCGCCCGTCAATCGGGCATTTTAGGTCTTAGTACCTCCAACGAAGACCTCCTAGGGAGTTGCCTACCAACGTTGCGCGCCACATGACCTAGGATAGAAGAGGTTCTGCGACAGTCCTGCCCTGTGGTGGGTCTGGTCCGGTCTTGCGAGGAGGGGGTACAGTTGTGGGCTCCCAGCCTGATCAAACCCAGGAGTCAACCAACAACGCCTTTTCGGATCTTTGATTTTGAAGCCTCTTGGCCTAATGAGGCCATTTCGGAAGCCTCTGGGGCCCTCTTGGGGCGCTCTCGGAGGCCTCGGGGGCCCTCTTGGAGGCCATCGATCTAAGCAGGAGGGGGAATTGATTTTACCCCCCCGTCGTAGGCCAAGAAATCGCCCCGTGGGACGCTATTCGGTCAATATTGGGCGCTCTGGCTCTGGAGGTTGTCTTGGAGTCCCTCTCAGGGCTTTCTCGGGCCATCTTGGAGCGACCTGGAGGCCTCCAAAGCCCGTCGGAAGCGGAACAGCGAGAAGGAACAACTCACACGGGTCTCTCGGGCATCTCTTTCTGAGGTTCCGTGGCTATTTGGAGCCGCAGGACGGTCGTGGGGCCTGTTGGAGGCATGTTGGAGGACACGTTGAGCCATCTGGAGCCATCTTGGAGACTGGCCGCTCGCGACCCCCTCCAGACCCCAGGCCGCGTCGCCGATCCATCGGCGACGATGCGCCGTCCGGAGTCCGATTCTCGCCATCCAGACCTCGTCGATTCTTCGACGGTGCTGTGCGGTCAGAGGGCCCCATTTGCTCCTGCCTGGCAGCAGCACCAGCACCAGTGCCAGCACGAGCAGCAGAAGCATCAGCGAAGTTGGATGGGGATGAAGGCGAAGGTGAACATCAGCAGGAAATAGGTGTGAGGGGAGCATCCCTCCTGTCTTTGCGTCTTCCCCGCCTCTGTCATCCCAGGCTTCCTCCCCCATCTAGCCTTCCTTTCTCCTGCCTGTCGCTTCACGTTTCGCCTGCGTGGCTCTTACTACTGGAGTCCTTCGTGCTGTGCAGCCCAGGGGTGCATGGCGAAGCCCAGCAGAAGGAACAGGAAACATCAGGAGCACGAGCATGGCAACATTCTGCGGAGGAAGAGGCTAACCCAATCAAGACGAGCCAGGGGTGGATGTCGATGCGGAGGAGGAGCACGAGGAGGAGGAGGAGGAGCAGGAGGAGGAGGAGGAGGAGGAGGAGGAGGAGGAAGCACGCTCCAGGCTGCCGCCTCTAGTTGGTCGAACGTCAACAGGAGGAGGAGGAGGAGGAGGAGGAGGAGGAGGGAGGAGGAGGCGGAGGCCTGGGCGGAGGAGAAGGCGGGAAAGCGGGGGGAAATGGACGAGCATGAGGAGCGTGATCCGGAGGAGGTGGCAGGGGGAGCAGCGGCAGCAGCAGGCCGAGGAGGGAGCACATCCTCCTCCTCCTCCCCCTCCTCCTCCTCCTCCTCCCTCCTCCTCCCTCCCTCCTCCTCCCCCTCCTCCTCCTCCTCCTCCTCCTCCTTTTCCGCCTCCTCCGCCTCCTCCTGCCCGGCCACAGCACGTGATACCGTAGTGATGCTGTTCTCCTGGCAAGAGCCGTGGCAGCTGTTGACGAATCTTTGTGGGTCGAGGTCCCGTGGAGCTTGATGTCTATCCCCCGACGCGTAATTGGTCGCTGCGCTGGTCTCTCCCCCCCCCCCAGATAGCGGGAGCGATCGTGCGAAGGGAGGAGCGCTGGATTCCCTCACCCCCCCCCACGCGCGCATACTCTGGCGATCGCGGCGCACACCCGCCCCGGCGCGCCCCACTCCGCCCAAGCGTTGCCGTTGCCCATTTGCCTGGGGCCCCCAACCCCCCCTCCCCCCTTGGGTAACGACGGACACCCGGCCATACTCATACGACTACATAACAGCATAATGATGATACGACTTGTACGAATACGATTACACCTGGGAAATCCCAATCAGTTGATGGTTTAGAAATTGATACTATGGATCTTGAGATCGATTGTAAGATCGATCGATAATGATATCGATAGTGGAATCGATAGTCAGGACGATTGTAAGGTCGATCGTGAGACCGAGAGTGAAGTCGACTCAAGGAGATCGATAGTGCGATCGATGGCGAGATCGCTCATGCAATCTCTAATGAGATCGCTTATGAGATCGATAGTGAGATCGATTGTGTCATCGATAGAGAAGTGGGTAATGAGATGAGATCGATGGTGAGACCGATCGATAAGAAGATCGACCAGGAACCCGGGAACCCGGGATCCTCGCCGCCCTCCGAAATCGGTCCGGAACCCGGAACCGGGAACCCGGGAACCCAGAAACGGGAACCCGGGAACCCCGCCAGCAACCAAAATTTGCGGGAAATGTTCGCCAAATCTTTCAATCTCCGCGAGGACCCCTTCAGTGCAAGCATAAGAATGAAAAGAATAGTAGTAATGCTAACAGTAATGGCAAAAAGGATAATAATAATAATAATAATCATAGCGGTCGAAAGTGTTGTCAAATCTGTTCGGGTCGGGACCATGCGCAAGCGCAGGGGGGTTGCTCACCACCCGTACGGAACTCGCCGGTTGAGTGTCCAGTGTTCCTCTCTTCCCATAGTCTCTTGCTCTGGCTGAAGCGATGTCGCAGGCCGTCAGCCTTTCTCTCTCGGTATCGGTGTGATGGCTTCCGCTATGATCGGCTGCGAGCGAGGAGGGACGTGGGAAGGGGCGGGCCATCTGAGAAGTTTCGGAAGTCCCCCGGCCTTCCAAGAAGTTTTCTGAGCATTCCCCGAAGACAGAGAAATCTTGTCAGAAGGCGCGAGGGCTTCTGAGAAGTCCCGCCGCCTTCTGAGAAGGCACTCTCCCTCTCAATTTCACTCCCCGCTCGCCGTGGAGATGAAGCCAGCGGGCGAACCGCCGTCGCACGCCCGCCACTCGCTCCGCCTCGCGGGCCTCGTGGGGCTGCTCGGCCTTGCCTGCTGCCGCACGGCCGTGCGGGTCGACCTGGAAGAGTTCGCGGGAGAGCGCCCCCCGCTCGCGGGCGTGCTTCCCGACCTGGTCCTGGACAGAAGCTACTGGGTCCGCTGCGCCGTGTCGCTGCCCGTCGCGCTCGCGCTGTGGGCGTCGCTCGCCGCCGCGGTCTCGCACGCCTTCCCGCGCCACCTCGGCACGCGCGGCGTGCGGCCGCCAGTCTTCGGCCTGCGGCTCGACAGCGACGTCGGCGTGACGCTTGCTGGGCTGCTCGCGGGCACGCCGATGATCCAGCTCTTCCACCACGCGAGCGATAAGTATGCGGGCGCGTCGGGCATGCTGCTGTATCTGGGCGGCGAGGGAGGGGGGGGGATTGAGAAGCAGAAGGCCCTCCCAGAGGGCGGCGGCACTTCTCAGAAGCCCTCGCGCCTTCGGAGAAGTGTTCTGCATCTTCGGGGAAGGTTCAGAAAACTTCTCAGACGGCCTGGGGACTTCCGAGCCCTCTGAGAGGGCTTTCTCCTCCCCGCATCCTCCCCGGGCTCGCCGCCGAGTGTCAGGACCCGTGGCGGTACGGTCTCTCGTGGGCGGTGCTCCAGGTGCCCGTCTACCTCCTGCTGTGGGACCTGACGTTCTACGTCCTGCACCGCTGGCTGCTGCACCACCCGCTCCTCTACCAGCGCCTGCACGCCAAGCACCACGCCTTCCGGCCGCCCACGGCTTGGTCGGGCATCGCCGTCGACCCGCTCGACGTGGTCTTCGAAGGCATCCTGCCCTACACCGTGCCGCTCTTCGTTGGCCGCTGCGCGGGGCTACCATTTCACGAGTACACCGTGAATGCCGTGAACGCGTTGCTCACCCTCCACGCCCTCGTGCTGCATTCGGCATGCCACCGCCGCTACGACGAGCTGTCACCCTTCCTTGGTTGGCTGATGATCTCGCCGATCGGCCACAACATGCACCATCAGTACGGCGAACGCAACGCGTGCAACTTTGCGCCGATCTTCCAGATATGGGACCGCCTCGGGGGTACGCTCAACGAGGCTGAGCCCTTCTGGTGGAAGAGCGACAGGGAGGCCAAGGCGGCCAAGGCGGCCAAGGCGAGGGAGTAAGGCGAGGCCACCCTGCGGCCCACTTCCCCTCCCACTTCCCGTGTCTTTTTTCTCGCTCATATATCGTGCGTTCTTGCTCAAGTCGGGTGCACCCCTGCACTATTAGACAGATCGGGTGCCCTTTTGTGCCAGCTTAAACACAACAGCGCAACTGAAGATATTGACAGCTTTGACCCCAAACGCTCCAATCTGTGTCGCATGAGCACGAATAGCATGGCGCGTATCGCCGCTGTGCCTCTCTGTAGATCTTGGTGCTGTCAGCAGTCACGCATTGACCCACAGCTGTGTGCTGCGTAGTTCTGCTCCCCCGTATCCCCTTCGGGGCTTCAGGCGATTGGGCTCTGACCGCAGCACACGCCTCGACGGGCGGCATGCGCCGTGGGCCATTCTCCTGCCTGCCCTCCCGCCCTCCACCGAGGCGGGGCCAGAGACTCCGGGACAGAGGCTCGCTCGTTGCCTGGGCCCTGCTTCGCAAAAAGTCTCTGTGTGTGCGATTCCTCTTCGGGCGGGTCTCTTGCTGCTACCCCTGCATGGCATACCCTGCCCAGGCAAGCCAAGACCATGATCGATCCCCCAGGTCACCCGCACGTGCGCGAGGGGATAACCGCGCTTTCCGCCTGGCGGACCGGGCCAGAGGGGTGTTCTCCTCCTCCTCTTCCTGCTCCTCCTCCTCCTCTTGGCGCGAGATCGCGAAGATGGTCGATCCGCGCTTCGCGGGGAAGCGCAAGGACGGGCGACCTGTAGCCCTGGCCGGCGCTGATGCGGTCGCGGTTCGATCGCCCGTGGGCGCGTGGCCAGTTGAGAGGCCGAGCGCCCAGGTGGTCGCAGCATGGCGGTAGAGGGACAACGATAGGGGGGGGGGATAGGTTTTGGGTGGGATGCATCGACCCCCCATCGCCCATTGATCGCCGATGGGGGCTCAATAGCCTCAACCTGCTCAGGAGGGTGCGGATTCACGATCGGAGGCCTATCGCCGATCTCTCGGCGATGTATCGCCGATGCCAGGTCGATGCCTCCCCCCTATGCCAGTCCCCCCCCCCCTATCGTTGCCCCTCGAGCATGGCGGTGGAGGGGCGGTGACGTGCTCGGAGCGAGATCCCGCACCTCAAGTCGTCGCGGAGAAAGACGAGCTGATGATGTATACGTTCGGTATTCGGCAGGTGCGGCCTCCAGGAGCGGCTTCTGAGCGACAGGGCCATCGATGGGGGGCCACATGCGAGCCCTACCCCTGCCCCCCACGATCTCTGAGGGGGAGGGTGGGGTTCACTGCGTTCGGGAGCTCCCGAGCGAAGTGAACCTCCCCCTCCCCCTCAGAAATCGTGTGGGGTAAGGGTAGGGTTCGCATGTGGCCCCCTGATCTAATGATGCTCCGCGGCGGAACCACAGTTCCGATGATGGGCAGAGAGCGCAGGTTCGCGAGGTCGGAGGTCTGGGGACGGAGTTACGAGAGGCTGACAAAACTCGAGGGCAGCATGCACGGCAAGGTATTAGCACGCCAGGAGACAGCTGATAATTACCGCACAGGCCGAGCCGAGCCATAGCGAAAAGGCTATCTCAAGGCAAGGCAAGCTTTGCGAGCGACGACGTCGAGGAGCGCGGAAAGCTCACTGCGAGAGGCGTTCGGGCGATCAGCAAGAGGGGAGCATGCTGAGTGCTGTGAAGAAGGCGGGTTGACTTATGTCACAGCACCTGGCGGCAAGCATCCGAACACATGAAGCCAAGAGCAAGCCACATGGCCTGAAAACGCCATGACCAACGGCCTCTCGCACAAGAGAATTTCGACCACCGTAGGCGAAGCCTACTGTAAACTGGTGAACGCGTAGGGGGAGGAGAGTCGACAAGAATGATAAGGATGGATAGAGGGGGGGAGCGAGACGGAGAGAGTGGCGGGGAGGAGAAGGAGGAGGACGAGAAGCTTCGCCTGTTCAGCGCTCCTCATCATCGTCTGTATCCTTCTCATCCGATTCATACTGTTCCCTCCTTCTCCTGCTCCTTCGGCTGCACCAGGAGACGGACAACGCGATGATCTCGATTGCCGACGTGGACTTCGTCTATTCCTACGAGTATCTGGGTTGCAAGGACAGGGCACGAGAGGCATGAGTGGATCGAGCGAGCAAGGTGAAAGCGTCGGTCTGGCGCACTGTCAGTGGAGCATAAACGCAGCGACGTGCCATGCACTGTAGCGCAGCGCCTCGCAACCCCACCCAACGAATCAACGCAACGAAGGACCACATACGCTACACGCCGTGAGGAGTGTGCCTTGCCCCCGTTGTGCCGAGCGGCGAAGGACCGCAACCTCAGGCGGAGCGGCACCCTTCCGACCAGGGCCCCGTCCATGGGTACTCCAGATTTCGTAATAAAAGGGAGGGGGTCTGGACCCTCCAAGACAAGCCGTTTCAGACCTCCCCCGTGGGAGAACCCTCCAAAACATCGTCCCCAGACCCCCCCAGGCCCTCCAAGGTAGCCTGGAGGAGACCCCCTCCCGAAATGAGACCCCCTCCCTTTTATTACGAAATCTGGAGTATCCGAGCGGGCCTCGAACCACATCTCCAGCATATCTTGGTTCTTGACGTCGGCAAAGCACCTCCAAGGCCAGGCACGTCCGGCTTCGAATGATTAGTTCGACTCTCGTTGGCCGCGCGGTGCGAGGTTTGTGGCGCGTTGCCGATCGTAGCAAGCCGCCCGACAAGCAGCTGATGCCAAGATAGTGGCGTTGCCATAGAACAGAGCGAGAAGGACTGTAAGCATGTTGGCGATTCCTCTTGCTTCGCAGGAGCGGCTGGTCATCACCGCCTTGACCGACCGCTGTTACCTGACCCAGTCGCAGGCCGCGGGATGGCTATGCTCCTCACTCCCTCACATTACGTTGTACATTCGGGGGGGCCTCGTTCGGTCTCCTCCTGTATCTAGCGCGGGCTCGTCGCGGATTTGCCATGCACCCGACGCGGATTCGACGCGAATAGCGACGCGAGGGGACAGACAGAGTTTCCCGAAGGTGCTGCATCGCCTGCCGCCTCCTCTCCCCCCACTGCAGTCAAGACGCTGAGAAAGGGTCCACTTGGGGCTCAGGAGGGGCTCCTTAGGTCTAGAGGTCTGGGAATCTGTTCGTAATCGAGGCTCGCCGTGGAAAGAAAAGCCCCTCGGTTCCTGATTCAGCGCCCCTTCTTGGCAGCACGACGACTGCACCTCCTCCAGAGCAGCCCGCCGTCGCGCCCCCTTCCCGCTCCAGGCGCTCCTGGTCGTCCCGCTTCTCCGCTCTCGCTTTCTCCGCGCGCTCCACGGTCGCCGCCGCCGCCACCGTCGCCGGCGCTGGCCTCGGCGCCGCCGGCCTGCGCCCGCTGCGAGGAGGAGGAGGAGCAGGAGGAGGAGGTGAGATGAGATGAGATGAGACCGATCGCGAAGCGAATCCGAAAAACCGCTGGGGGGGGACGGGCGGTGGGGTGCGTGGGCGGTCCTCCATGTGGAAGCCGCCGATGTCGCGGGCGGCCGCGCGCGGGCGCGCCGCTCCCCGCTGACACACACACACACACACACACACACCCACTTAGGGGCCCCGCCCCCCCCCTCACTTAATTAAGACCGACCCCGAGCCTCTTGCTCATCCTTGCTGAGCACTTTGGGCCACAGGTTCCTGGAGATGCGGTCGAGGTAAGCTCGCCGCGTCTTAGTCACAGGGGAGTCAGGATACGAACACACTTCGGCCAGCCCACAGAGGTTACAAGAGAAATACCTCCCACAGGCCTGACAGAACCACAAGGACAACGATTCGTGGAATACCATCTGGTGAGACTGGTGGACCCAGCCCCCAGCGAGGTGAATCCGCCGACCGTAAGGGACCCTTAGAGTGTGCTCAGTCGCCCGAATTAAGGAAAAACATTCCGATGATAGCCACATCTTCTTGCTCGCCTCCGAGCAGCTACTGTGACACCTCGAGCATTTTTTCCCACAGGACTCCACAACATGAGACGATTGGAAAAAGGCGACGACTGAGGGTGCAGGGGGAGGGGCAACAGCAGGGGCAGCAGGGCGCCTGACCTTTTTCCCTTCCACCTTACACGACTCTAACGTGGCCCTCAAGAGCCTCTCTCGAATGACACGGATTTCACTCTCGATGCGGAGAACTCTCGCACGCTGATCAGCGGGGACTCTGAACAGCTTGGCGGCAGTGCCCGCAAGGGCGTCAACAAACACATTTCCAGCAATTAAATGGCCTGGGAGACCTCTTGCCTCCACCTCGGCACCGTCAACGTGAGAGGGAACTTTGAGGACGCACACATCGCCTGGGTGTCGGTCCGACACTTGCAGAGCATCGCGCAGCCTCCTCCAGAGATCCGCATTGGGGCCCTGGGGAACCTCAAACCACCTACTCCAAATTCCAGTTGAAACCTGATCATTATCAGTAATGTAAGCCAATGGCCCCCTAGATTTTTCAACGGCCACGACAAAACAGAAAAGCTCGCCCCTCGGCACCGTCTGATGCATGCCAGGGAGGGGCCCATACATAAACCTCTGAGCCGAGGGGTCGGCGGAAGGGGCCGTGGCGAGAGCCACCCCGATCCTACGCAACCTGGGATAGTGAGTGTCCGCACCCCCCGACGCATTTCCCCACACGAGTAGGGGCATGCCAGGAGTGCCAACACCAAAAAACTCGCCATCAACCACCTCATTGGAGTGACTGCTGATCCAGATCTCCTCGTCGGGGGGCGGGGGGGCCTCAAGCATGTGAGACGGGATGAGCCCCCTAAACCAATAGCATTCAAGACTGTCAGCCTCCGCAAGAGCACGGGGAATGAGATCCTCTGAGGCTTCAAAGGCTCTGGAGTCCCTATTACACTCGCACTGCCAAAACCTATGCTTGGGTGTCTCGGGGCCTCCCCTACACCTACGGCACTCTGCTGGGATCTCGTACCCTTGTGAGTTTTTGCGAGCCGCGGGCCAAGCCCCGCCCACTGCAATACACAACATGAGTTCCGACAACTTCCGACCGTACTCTGGGGCCTGCTCCAGCTGGAAGAGGTAGCGCCTCAGCGAGAAATTGTCCACCCCTCGCTCCATGCCTCCCCCGCAGAAGCCCTTGGAGGCCTCCAGCCACAACTGCTGCTGAAGGGTGCCTGCAAAGGCATCGATCAGCTCGCCTGCCTGGTCGAACGCTTCGAAGGCCTGCGAGCCGAAGTCCCATCCGTGCTGGAGTCCATCTGGGCCCGTGGGGGGATACCACTCCGTGGGGGACCGCAACTCCCACTCGGCTCCCAACATGTAATGTACAAGAGCTGACAGTGGGCCCCGTACGTGGCGAGCCCGATTGGACGGCGAGGTGGACGTGAACTGCTGCACCAACTCCTGCCACACAAGGCCCACGGAGCGCCTCACCTGCGGGGAGTCCAGCCAGCACTTGAACCACTGCTCAACACATTGACGCGGAAGCGCATACCCTGGATCTGCTCCAGGCGCTCGAATGTCGAGCAGAGTCGTGAGGCAACGGCCGCGTCTATGACCCGAGACTCCGCCCAGTCGTCGACGTAGCTGCACCAGCGAGGCCCGCGGCAAGCCCAGCACCTGGTGGCCGCACCGCGCGCCTGCCTGGGGCCCCGCCAACTCCACCTTCTTCAAAATACGAAACCGTCTAGATGAAGCCGCAAACCTCTTGATGGTAAGGTGCTGCTTCTTCGTGTCCTGCATGCGTTTCTGCCCGGTTGCTCGACCATGCCGACGCCCACACGAGAGGTCGACCCCTAGGTAGGCCATCTGCTTGGCACATTGGATCTCGATGCTCCGCTTCCTCAAAGCCCTGACCACAGCACGAGCATCCGACATAGAGGAACAGGACACCGTACTCTTGTTGGCTAGTGTGAGCTTGACATCTGCCAAGAGGTCGGATGCCGAGGTCACGCCGTCGATCAGCGCCTGTCGTACATGAGCACCAGATCCCACTGCCGACTGCGAAAGATCGTCGATCCACAAACGCTCCGTGAGCCCAGGATGCATGACCGTCAGACGCTCCATGACCAGGCTAGTGACACACCGCGCGAAACGAGTGCCACTGCGGAGCCCCTGCACGATGCTCCGAGTGGCCTGGAAAGGAAGCGACACTGCGTCGCCCTGATCTAGCATCCTCGGGCTCGCACATATCTGAAGTTCCAATCCTGACATCACTGCTGGGAACCCATATCGAAAGGCCCCCCTGATAAGAACATCCCATTCCATCATGTCATAATAACTCTGAATATCCATCAATGCGTGACCGTTGGCCATCTTGAGCCTAGTATACAGCTCTTCATTCAACGCCTTCATATACGCTTCTCGGAGGGCACTGTTGCCCTTCACCGCAGCGTCCCAGTCGGGCTGCGAGGAAGCAGCCCAACTTTGTACAACTGGTTCGCGTGCCAGACTCCACACCCTGCAGATCATGCAGATCAATCCTATGACACGGAACTGGCCAACGGTCTTCTTGGCTAGTGGCTTACCCACGACCCCCATGAGCTGCCACGGCCACGTCTGACACTCCTCAAACATGTTGTATAGCTGCGCCAATTCAGTCAGCGCGGCATCTGGCAACCTCTCGAGGTCGATGGGGGATAATCGATCCAGACCCATCCCCGCGCGCGCCTTCATAGCCCTCAGTGCACGACGAATGTCCTCTAAAGACAGAGGCTCCAAAGGTTCATCACGGGCCCGCGCGTGGATAGTCTCAAACAACTTCTCAGCCTGACTGCACGTCATATCAGGAGATGTCCACAGCTTGTGATACTTCTCTGCGCGGTGCTCCACCACATCCTTGGGATGGTACACCGTCTCGCCGTTCACGACCACACTATGACTGCTATTCGGCTGCTCCTTGGTGGCTCGAAAGAGCCCTCCTGTAAACTCATTCTCCTGAATCCACTGCTTGAAGTCCGCCAGCGACGCCGCAAGTGCTCGAGACCGAGCCCTGCAAGCAATACGAGCGGCTTCCTTGGTGAACAACTCGAGCTGCGCCAAAGGGGTCTCATGGAGACTCTGCAACACCGACACCCACAGGGGCCACGACGTCGCATCCCTCCGTGCGCTGACCATCTTCTGAACACCGTCGGGGAAATGACCTGCTAACTTACGTGCTGCCTCACACAGCACTCGAACTTGGGGTCTTCCGTTATCACGCCTAACATGTTTGGTGACTTTGCCGACGACGACCGAGATGCGCCCCCACCAGTTCGCGATGGCATCCTGGAAGGGCATGTCCCGAAAGTGAGTCGACTGCCGCACTGGATGCACTGACATGGTCGGTCCTCTGGCCCTGGATGGGCCCGTCCCTACTTGCTCGTCAAGGTGCATCTCCTCCACTGCTGTGATCCATGCCGCGAAGGCTCCGCTGACCGCCAGCACATACTGGCCTCCAACACGGAATGACAACGACTGTAGGATGGGTTTCCAAACGTCGTCAAGGGAGTGTGAGTGGAAGCCAGAATTGGCTCGAGCCGAAAGCCAACGGACATGGGGAAGGGCATAATCAACCGCACCAGCAGTAGAGGGCGGAGCAGTGGGAGGAGTTCCACCGCAGGGAGTGGGATCGGGGGTCTCCTCACTTAAACGAGGTCGGCTCTCGCTGGGGGGGGGTCTCAACGTTATCATCTGACGGGGCTCTAACAGTTGGCGAAGAGTGACCCTCCAGACTCATAGGAGCATCGCCCAAACAATTGCTGACATCCGAAGGAGAGGCGGCCGACGCGACGGCCGACGAGGGAGGGAGCGGGGAAGGACGGACCTGGTCACTAAAGTTGGCCTCCTCGGCCCATGGGTCGACCTCGTCACCGCCCAAAAAACCAAAATGACAACCAGCCCACACTTCAGGGTCCTCGAGGTCCTCAGCCACAGGAGCCAACACGGGGCCAGAGACAGAAGTACCCACAACCCCAGCACCCGTGTCTTCAGGCTGGACCAAAAGATCAGAATCCAAGGCATGAGTGCGCTCCAGCTGCTTTTCACGCGAGAGGGCCTGCTGCACCGCATGCTTCTTGCGAGCGAGCGAAGACTTGGACCCCTCCGTCGCCTGCTTCTGAGGCCTCGAAACTTGCGCGAAGCGCTCGGGGAGTATGAGAGACCGAGTGATCAACTGCTTTCCCGAGCCACGCAACTGGAGCAAAAGAGCACAATGCGGACGCCACGGGACATCTTCGATCGCTCTGAGGCCAGCAATGTACGGCACTGCCGACGCAGAGGCGACCGCAAAATCGATGTGCGTGGATGCAGCAGAGCTAACGCAAGTGTACTCGACAGGCGCCTGCAGCACTGACGCCCCGAGCCGAGAGACCCACCCCGACCGCTGGAGCTCGATCGGAGACTGGTTAAAATCCCCCAGGACAACCCAGGGCAACTGCAAAGCTTGAAGTAACGAACCTAGTCTAGCGAATCGCCCAAGATTCAGACCAGAAAACTTCAACCCACACCTACTATAAAACCTGACAATGACGATACTAAAGCCCTGCAGATGTACAACCATGGGCAGAAAACCATCTAGCATAGACTGGCCTGACTCACATAGTGCACCAAGCTTGCCATCCGCTAGAGGATGCGCTTGCCTGTGCCCCTCAACCAGAAACATCTCACCTCCCTCATTTGCTTTAGCCTGTCCCGTCGATGTCAAACACTGGCGGCCAGTAGGACGAGCGGCGTTCGCATAGCAACGAAGATGAGCTGCCCTGGCCTTCTTGGCCCACTTCGACACCCCAGAAGTCGGAACGTGGGTCTCGCACGAGGCAATGTATTGAACTGAGCGTGATTTTGCCATCTCAGCCAGGTACCCCCATGACTTGTTACCTAGCATCGTGATGTTGCTGAAAAAGACTTGGACAATGTCATTGGACTGCATGTCTGCTTGCGACTGTGAAACTGAATCTAGAACCTCAGCCCCAGCCGAGGACACGGAGGGAGAAACTGCCGATGTAGTCGTCCTCGACGTCGGGGCCGTAGAACTGCCTGCCGACAGTGACGCCGATGATGTAGACCCAGCAGCTGACGAGGACGAGGCACTGAGAAGCGAAGCGGATGCGGGCACCTGGGCCCCTGGATCACCCCTGGGGCGATCCTCCGCTCGCTCTCATGCCTTGGTGGGCGACGCGCCCGCATCGCCCTTGCCAGCCGCCTTGGCCGCAGCCGCCGCAGCCGCCGCCGCCGAGCTCGCAACTGCTGAAGTCGCCGCCGCCTTGGCTGCACGGATGCGCTCCACCTCCTGTGCGATCCTCGCCTCGGCGTCGGCGTCGACCTCCACCTTCTCGGCCGTGGGGCCGCCCGACGCTGGGGCAGGCGCCTCGGCTGGCGGGGCAGCGGCGCCGCCTGCTCCTCCCTGGTGCATGGCGCCGTCCTCGCCCTTGCGCTTCTTCGCCATGCGCTCCTTCGCCGACGCCTGCAACTTCTCCATCTTGATCTTCCATGCCAAGACCTGCTCACCTCGGTCGCCGATGAGGGACCGCGCCTTGATGAGCTCCTCCTCAAGCTTGAGCAGCTCCGCCTTCTCGCCCTCCTCGCACTCGAACTCGTCACTGCGGAGCGAGGCGAAGAAAGCCTCATCCCAAGAGACGTCGAACTGCATCCCCTTGGGACCTGAGCTGGCCGCGGGTGCGCCAGCTGTCGCGGAGCCTCCTGCCAGCGGCGCCGTAAGCCCCGCCTCCGCCGCCAAGGCTCGCACCGCGATCCGCTTGGCGATCTCCGCCTCCGCCAGCTGCTTGACCGTCTCCTCCTCGCGCTCCACAGCGCGCTGCAGCTGCTCCTTGGCCTTCCGCACCGCATCCGATGCCTGATCATGTCGCCTGTTGGCCTCGCGCCATGCAGCTTCAGCCCTTCTATGCGCCTCTCCAGTCGAGAGTGCGGCAGCTGGCTTCGCCGCGGCCGCTGCCTGCGCCTGCTGCGCCTCCGCCTGCAGGGCTGCCTTCAGGTGCGGGTTGGTGGTGACCTCTAGCGCCTTCAGCAAGATGTCACTCGGGGCAGCACTGGGATTGAGCGAGAAAGACAGGTCAGGCGCATGTCCCTTCCCTCCGCCCTTCGTGGGCTTATGCAAAGCCATCTGGACCCCGCACTTGCAGCGACGATCACGTTGAAGCAAAAGAGAGTTCCACTCACACGCACCGCACTTCTGGCATCTGGTGTACGGCTCGGACTGACTCTTGTCGCCACCCTTGCCCATACCAGGGACTGCACTGCCGTGATGCACACGAAGCCGATGTGCGTGCGCAGCCAGGCGGAGGGCCACTCGGGCTGATGCCCTGTGCCGCCTCGCGCGCCTGTGCCACGCGGGCGAGCGAGATCGCGGCGGCTCGCTCGTCCGTCAGAAGCGCCCCTCGGAGGGGCTGGGGTCGTGGTCGATCGGGCACTTGCCAAAATGGTTGCCTCGGACCACAACACCTTGGAGCAGGAGGAGGAGGAGGAGGAGGAGGAGGAGGAGGAGGAGGAGGAGGAGGAGGGGGGGGGGAGGAGGGGAGGAGGAGGAGGGAGGAGGAGGAGGAGGAGGAGGAGGAGGAGGAGGAGGAGGAGGAGGAGGACGAGGAGGAGGATGAGGAGTCCCCGCCGCCGCCGCTGCCGTCGCCGCCGCCGCCGTCGCCGCCGGCGCCGCCGTCGTGGGCGTGTGGGCGCCGCCGTCGGGCCGCGCAGCAGGCGCTCGGCATGTTCTTCGGCGGGGCCCCGGCGGGGCCGGCAGGCACGGGCAAGACGGAGACCACCAAGGAGCTGCGAGCCGCAAGGCGGCGGGCGTGTCCTTCTACAGGAGGCATGTTCAAAAACAAAACAAAAAAAGATGGGCTCGATGTTTCTGTTTTTTTATAGTTCTATGTGTGCTGCACGTTTTTTTGAATATTCTCAACTTTCTTTGGATGTCCGCCTGTAGGAGGGCATGCCCGACCTCATGCGAGCCCCGCGGGCACCCGCGCTGCGTGGGAGCCGCCGCGCCCGCGCGGCGCTCGACGCGCCCCCGCGCGCGCGTGGTTGTGTTGGCTTGTTCGGGGGCCGCGGTGTCGCCGCGGCGGTCCGCCGACGGGAAGGCGGGCGCCCGGAGGAGGTCCGGAGGGGGGTGGGGGCAGGAGGTCCGCAGGGGGGGGGCAGAGTCGGGGATGCTGTCGTCCTTACCGTTTTGGGGCAGCATCGGCTTCTTCGCTTCTTCTCGCGACGTCGCGTCGATACGATGGGTTGGCTCTCGCCACAAAGGGAGGGAGCACAGCTTTCCCAGATGTGGCTTGTCGGAGGGGGCCTCAGGAATGTTCCGAATACTGACCTCTAAGGGTCTTTCGTTTTGTGCCCCCCTCCACCCCGTAGTCGTATCACGGTCGTAGTAGTAATCGTTGTCGTAGTCGTCATTGTCGTCGTCGTCGTTATTGGGTGGCGGGTGCCGCGGATAAATGTCTGTTTTCCAACACTGGTGGGGCCCCAGACCGTCAATAAGAGCGTCGACAAGATAATTCGTTCCCGCTGTGTGGGTGGGGGTTTTAGTACCATTCGAGGTCAAGGGGGGGGCATTTGATTAACCAGCTGTCATAAAGAAAAGGGGTCCTAACAGGGAGTGTACAGAGTTGTTTCGCCGTTTCTGGCCTCCCAGGGCGTTCCCCAGGCCCCTCGAAGCCAGCCCTTGAGGAAGCCATTCGGCCCATGATCCGTTTCCGTCTGGACCTTCTTGTCCAGTATGCCATAAGCATGGGCATTGTGCGCGATGTGTGGATTGTCTTTCCTCGGAGCAGCTCCGCTTTTCGTTCTCCCTTTTCCCCCCTTCCTTCATCACCACAAGTCTTAATCCCACGCTCGCTGCCACTCCGACCAACATCCCCGCGTTCATCTTCTACATATTTAATGTTTGAGATGTTTTGACCAACCTCTGCGTTTTATTGAAAATCCCACTTACATCACCTGTCACCCCCCCTACTGAGAGCAATACATGGTCGTCAATGTTTGTTCAGAGAGGGGGGTGGTCGTGCAAATCCGTCGGGGCTGTGCGCCAGCATTTGCACGCATGGAGCTTACGGTCAACCTTTTATTTTGGCGGTCGCGGTGTGCCAACCACACCATAGTTTTCGCCTCAGCGGAGGCTGTGCATACCCGGCATGGCAATGCGACCATGTTGCGACGCAGTTGTGATATGTGTAACTTCGATGCTTAAAAAGTGCTCGCAGCACAACGCTACGCATCCATGGCGTTCGGGAGTTGCCACCAGCACCATGCCCTCGCAGCCAGGGAGAACATGCGGAGGCGCTAGCTCGATGCATGCATATTATAATGCTCAGGTTCCACGGAGGCTGTGGAGACACCTGGGGCTACGAGACTGTCTGGCGATGAATATGGGCAGTGGCTGGTTGAATGTGCAAAGTGGCCGCAGTGCTGCACCTCTAGCGGTACCACATGTCCCCTCTCAGGAGGCCCCGTAGAACCGCCCGGGTTGCGCCTTGTATTTATCCTAGGGGAACAAAAAGTGGCATAAATATAAAAACTCGGAGCCCCGCGCGGATTTCTCGGATCGGCGCTGGGGCTCGCCGGCGGCGCCTCCGGCGCCGCCCCTGGCGCGCTCCGCGCGCCAGGGAGGGGGGTCCAGCGCCGATCCGAGAAATCCGCGCGGACCTCCGAGGTTTTATGTTTATGCCACTTGCCCCTAGTGCTTCAGTCTGCTTTTCAAGAGGGTCCACAATGCCGCGCGCTCGCCTCCAGGGAGGCCGCGCGAGGAGCCAGGGATGTGCACGCATCTGGCAGATTACTTGCGCTCCGCAGTTTCAACCAAGAGTGAGGGGGCGCCACCCCGCCCCGAAAGCAAGAATATCGGCGGCGAGCGGGGGGGAAAGCGAGAAGGAGACGGCCTTCTTTCTCAGCAGGTTCGGAAGGCCCCCGGCTTCCTGAGAAGTTTCCTGAGCCTGCCCCGAAGACAGACAACAAATGTCTCAGAAGGCGCGAGGGCCTCTGAGAGGGCCCGTCGCCCTCCGAGGAGGCCTTCTCCTCTCCCTCTCCTTTCCCTCTGAGGAGGCCTTCTCCTCTGAGGAGGCCTTCTCCTCCGAGAAGGCCTTCTCCTTCTCCTTTCCCCCCGCTCGCCCGCCGCCGAGCATAAAGAGTGCGGGCGCGTCGTGGCTGCTTTTTGTCGGAGTGCGGCGGCCCACGAGCGTCCAACGGCCCCTGGGGGCGAGAGGAGGAGGAGGAGGAGGAGGAGGAGGAGGAGGAGGAGGAGGAGGAGGAGGAGGAGGAGGAGGAGCAGCGAGGAGGAGGAGCAGCGAGGAGGAGCAGCGAGGAGGAGAAGCAGCAGCGGCACGGACCCGATTCTGCTGGAGCTCCGCGCGGGCCTCTCCGGTCGGCGTCGGGGCCCCCTTGGCGGCGCCTGCGGCGCCGCTCCAAGAGGAACTCGCGCAGGGGTAGGGTAGGTTTGCGTCGTGTCGACCAGCGGCGACCCCAGCGCGGGCGTTCAAGGTTGAACGCCGCGGGCGACCCAGAATCGATCGATGTTGAACGATCGGACGTTGCGGCAGCGGCCGATCGTTCAAGGTTGAACGATCCCTGCGGTGTCAAAAACCAACGCTGGGGTCGGCACGACACGAACCCGCCGTAGGGTGTCAGGGGGCGCGCGGCTTTCGTCTCGCGGGTTGTCGGGCGCCTCGCCTTGATGAAGTGGCGGGGCGATCGACCGGGCCTGGGAGGTGGAGGCCGACTGCTCTTCGACGGCGACCCGTCTGGACACCCATGTCGCTCATATTCTGCGCCGCAGGGGAGGCCGACTGCTCTTCGACGGCGACCTGTCTGGACACCCATGTCGCTCATATTCTGCGCCGCAGGGCCGCCGCCGTCGTTCGAGTAGGATTGGGGCGTCGCGTTCCGTGGAGCCGCGGGCGCGTAATCAGGCCGAGAGCGGCGTGAGGCAGACAGGGCAGCTTCTGCAATTGCCCGATATGAATGCTACTCTCCGCTCTCCCCTGAAGTTGTCCGGAAGATCTCGCGGCCCCATCCACGTCTGTTTTTTTTGGTCATTGGGATTGGCCGACTGGTTTATTCTGATACTTTCACTCCGATTGTTTTCGGTGTTTGCACAAATGTCGCTTTCACTGCAGCGTGGGCCTCATTTTCGGATCGGCGCTGCGTTCCCGACGTTCAGAATGGCGCGCCCGCCCCTGCTTGGAGCACTTTTCTGGATCTCACAGGTCTCGCAGGTCCAACAGGTCTCGCAGGTCTCACAGGTCCCACAGGTCCCAGAGGTCCCTCAGGACCCACAGGTGTCGCAGGTCGTCCCACAGGTCCCACAGGTACCAGATTCTTCCCACAGGTCGCGCAAATCTCGCAGGTCCCACTTGGCCAGTCCCACAGGTCTGACAGATTCCATCGGTCCTGCAGGTCCCACAGGTCTCGAAGGTCTCGCAGGTCCCACACGTGCGACAGGTCCCGCAAGTCCCATCTATCCCACAAGTGTCACATGTCTCACGAGTCCCACAGAGGCCCCACAGGTGTTGCAGATTGTCCCACAGGTCCCGCAGGTACCACAGGTCTGACAGATCCCACATGTGTCGCAGGTCTCGCAGGTCCCACTGGGCTGGTCCCTCAGGTCCCACAGGACCGACAGAAGTCGCAGGAGGTCCCACAGGTCCCAACGAGGTTCTACGGATCCCACAGGTCCCGCCGTTGCCACAGGTCCCACAAGTCTCGCAGGTTTCACATTTCCTTCAATTCACACGGATCTCACAGGTCTCACATGTGTCGCAGGTATCACGGACCCAATGGTCCACCGAGGTCCCCCAGGCCGCACGGGTCCCGCAATTCCCGCAGGTCCTTCAGACCCCACAGATCCACAGTTCCCACTTGCCTCACGGGCCTTTGCTTATATTTGGGTGCGTTGCAGGGCTAAGGGCCTGGGGTCGTTGGGGGAGTCCCAGGTCGGCTATGATACGCGCCCGCGGACGGGGGAACCATCAGCGCAAGGGGATGGGACGGGAGGGAGGAGCACGATGCCAGAATTGGTGCGAGCGCCGGCGTCGCGATCTTGTTCGCAACGCCGGCCCCCAGAGATCGGGACTCCTTCCCCCGCTTCTCGTCCCGAGTCGTCTTTTTTTTGACGGTCCCGGGGCCCGGCGAGAGGGCCCTCGGAGGCCGAAGGTGGCGAACGACCTCGCGTCGTGAGTGTTGGTCACAGCGCGGGGAGGTCCGGGGGTCACCTGATGGGCCCATTTTATTTCCCACCACCACTACCATATGTAGTGGGAGGAGGAGGAGGAGGAGGAGGAGGAGGAGGAGGAGGAGGAGGAGGAGGAGGAGGAGGATGGGCTACGGCGCGCCCAGCGGCGGCGCGCCGCAGAGCCCTCACTGAAAGGGTTCGCTGAAAGGAGGAGGAGGAGGAGGACTCAGCCTCCCTTCTCCCCCCGTCCTGCATATGGGGGTGGTTGTGGAACGTGTGCCCCTCGTCGCCCCGTCCTCGCCCTTCGGCTGCCGCGGCCCGCCCCGTCCTCGCCCCGGCGGCTCCCGCCGTGGGCCGCAGGACATGGGCCGCACGCTCGGCGTCTTCGTGGTCGTCACCAACTGCTCCGACCAGCACAGGTTCCGAGACATGGCGAAGATCTTCAAGGACGTCGGATGGTGCTTGTTTTTTTGTGCTCAAGTCGAGCTGTGGGCTAGCTACGGGGCCCAGATGTACACCAATCGACAGGAAGTGCTGAGAAGCGCCAGTCTAAAGCAGGGCTGAAAAACCATTTGCCCCTCCCCCGCCAGCCCCCTCCACCTCGGAGGAGGGAAGAGGTGCCCGTACCTCTACCCTGCCCTCGTTCTCCCATGTTGGGGCCTCCGGGGAGGATCTCGTCGCCACCGCTGGGTTCGTCTCGACATCTTGGTCAGAACGCTCCCCAGGAGAGGCCCGGGGAGTAGCGGTATGGGTACCCTTTGGTTCCCCCCATGGCCAGCGAGCGTCCTCTCGTGTCCACAGACATTTTGGAGGGTGCATGTTTGGCCGACATGAGGCGTACCTTGTCCTGTGCAAGATCTTCGGCACGGCCTGTTTTCTGAGCCCTCCGGCCGCCTGAGGCCCCGCCCGCCCGCGCCCTGTCTCCCCAATTTGGGCTACCCGCGTCCCGTTTAGCTCTTGACAGGAAGGGGCCCGCTCCCGACCCGCAGACCAAAAAAGTTTGGCCGACCTGCTTCCGCGAGGCCTACTAGGGCGGCGGAGGTACAGCGAGGCCACCTCCGCTGGCGGAAGGCCAACGGAAGCACGACGCCGCGGGTGCGGGGCGTGCGTGGCTCGCGGCTGCCCCGCGCGGGGCGCACCCGCGGGGCCGAGCGTCCGCGGGAGCGGGCCCCGGGGATCCAGGCCGTTGCGGCGGGGGGCGCTGGGCGCGGCCCCCCGGGGGGGGCCGGGCCCACCGCCCGCTCCGCTCCGCACAGGGATGGCCCCGGCGCGTCGTCGAGGGTCTTGGGAGCAGAGTGCCCAGAGGTCCAACGCATGGAGAAAATCAAGGCGGATGTCTGCTCTGCGGCGTTCTGCCCCTGGAGGCCCTGGCCCTCGCCGGGCCCCAGGGCTGTTGAACAACGGCTCCGGCTGAAAAGCTGGTCCTCGGGAGTGGGTCGAGACTTCCGGGAAAAGTCACGACATCGGATCTCTGGGTATGTGGCATGGGCGGTAGCAGCCGCACGTAGGGGGTGGTGGTGTGTGGGGGGAGGGCTTCTTACAAGCACCCCTGCTTCTCAGGAGACGCAGGCCCTATCGATAGGTGCAGGGCCGGCGCATTTGAGAAGCAGCCTCCTTCTGAGAAGCCCTCCCCTTTCCCCCACCCCGTGGAAGGGAAATACGGGACCGTTTGGGAGTTTTCTCTGTTTGTGTGTGTCTCTCTCTCTCTCTCTCTCTTTCTCTGTCTTTCTTTTTTTTGTCTCTCTCTCTCTCTCTTTCTCTCTTTGTTTCTCTTTCTCTTTTTTGGTTTCTCTCTCTCTCTCTCTCTCTTTCTCTTGAGGAATCCTAGTAGGGATGGGGCCACCTCTAGTAGAGTTTTACCAGTGACCAGCCCATCTCAATAGTATATTACATCTGGTTCCGGTACACCTTTGATAGAATAATCCTCTTGGATATGGAGCCACCTCTAACATATTTATATCCAGGATTGGGCCACCTGAGGCGTCGTTCCACCTCTGATTGAATCCTAAAGGGGGTGGGCAACCTTCAATATCCTCTTAGGGATGGAGCCACTTCTGATACAATCTCACTGGTGATGTTGCACCTTCTCAGACAATCCTTGTTTGGGAATTATAGCAACCTCTGACAGCGTCCCAACAGGGATGGACCCACGTTTTTACTATAGTCGTATTACGTATGATACGCCTCGGATGCATTTCGATCAGGGGCACAGCCACTTGTATGATTTTTCTTTTTTAGGAATGGCCTCACCTCTAACATAATCCGATCAGGGGTGGAAGCATTTTATGTAACCCGACTACGGGAGGCTTATTTCGAATCTAATCCTATCAGACGTGGGGCCACCCCTAACATAATCTTAGTAATGAGAAAATCCTCGAAGAAAAACTATCAACGAAGGACTCACATTCATCATGATATTACTAGCGGTAAGTCCACCTCTAAATGGATCCTTTTAAGGAGGGAGCCGCGTGCACACATAAACATCCATTAAAGGTGGCTCCGCCTGTTCAGGACTCCCATTCGACATGGTCCCCTTCTCCATCTGAGACCGATGAAGGATGAAACCGAGTGAAACATAATATTTTTAGAGGACGACGCGCCTCAGTTGGGATCCTATTGGACATGAAATCACCTCCAGTAGAATCCAAGATCCCTGGGGCCACTTGTGGCTAGCCAATGCGATGCCGTGCAAAGCCCTGCTGGCACCTGCCAAGCCCTGCTATGCCTGGCTGAACCCTGGTAGGCACTGCTACTGCGGCCCTCTGCTCAGCCCTGGTAAGTTCCGCTAGCCACCTGTCAGGCCCAGCTAAGATCTTATAAGCCTTATCAAGCCCTGCTAGCCCTCGATATGCCTGCTGAGACCTGCCAATAGTTGATAACACCTGCTGGCCATGCTAAGTTCTGCCAGCACCTCGGTAACCTGCTAAGCCATGAGATGCCTGCTAAGCCATGCGGGGCCACATCAACTACAATAGCACCAATGAACCGCTTGCTAATGAAATATCTTTAGATGTGTATCTACCTCTAACAGAATATGATCAAGGATGAGGCACTATGGAATAACATCCGAACGAAGGGGGCTCAGCTCTAGTATAGTCCCATGAGAGGTGGATCCACCTCTATTGGGATCCTGACATGGACGGGGTTACGGGCAATTGAATTGCATGCAGTGTGGCTTCACCCCGAACAGATACCCAGCCGAAGTGAATCTACCTCCTGGGGATTCCATGGCGGATGGAAGCACCTGGAATATAATCGTGTCCGATATAGGTCACTTATAGTTGAAGCCTGTGGGGAATGGGGCCACCTCGAACACACTCACTCCTAAGCCCTGCTAAGCCCCTGCTAAGCGCTGCTACGCCTTGTCCCGCTGAGCCTTGCTAGCCACTGCGATGTCGTGCTATGCCCTGCTGGCCCCTGCTAAGCTCTGGTCGGTCTAGCCGCGCCCTGCCAAGCACGGCTAAGCGCGGCTAAGTTTTGCTGGCCCTCTGCTAAGCCATGCACGGTTCTGCGAACCACCTGCGAAACCCAACAAAGCCTTGATAAGCCCGGCCAAGTTCAGCCTCTGAACAGCCTTGCTGAGACTTGCCAATATTCGCTAACACCTGCTAGCCTTGCTAAATTCCCCCAGCACCCCGATACCCTGCTAAGCCATGCGGAGCCTCATCTGTTATCATTTCATAAGGGATGGATCTAGTGATAACGGAATCCTAGTAGACAGAACACCATTAAGGAGGGAGCAACACGTAATACAATCCGACCAAAGAAAGACGCAGTTTAATTTAATCCCCTGAGAGGTGGGTCCACCTCTACTGGGATCCTGCTATGGACGGGACGGGATCCTTGGTAATTGAATTGCATGCAGTGAGGATGCACCTCTATTCGAAACCACTTCTAGGTGGACCCGCCGCCAATACAACCCCATGAAGGATGGACACATCAGGGGTGCAATCGTATTAGATGTGGATTCACTTGTGTTTTGAATATGATTGGGAACGGAGCCATTTGTTAAGAGAAGCCTATTCGGGGTGGATCCAGTGTTCACGGGATCCGATCATAAATGGGTGCGATCTACTTTTAAAAAGCCGGATTGAAGGCCCAGCCGCTTGCAACCCAATTCCTCAAGACAGGAAGGTCTTTCCACACAATAGCTAGATCTATCTCCCACGAAAGCAACCCGATTGGAAAGTCGCACACAAGGGTTCGTTTTGGAATTCACGCAATAGAAATCAATGTGTAAACCCCGACCAAAAAATCCTATTGTAAAGTAGTGTGAAAGGATGCTGTTGGCAATCCACACAATAGACATGTAGGTGTAAACCGCCCACACAAATTATCCGGTTGAAATGCCGCACAAAAAGATTTTATTCATAATCCACACACTAGGAATCAGTGTGTATATCGCCCACAAAAATATTTCGTTTCAAAGGTACCCGAAAAAGTGTTGGACCCTCTGGAAAAACAAACAACACCAACAACAAACACACGTCGCCCCCTCCATTATCATGATTTGTTTTGCGCCCGCCCCGCACCAGAAAAACAAAAAAAACCATGGAGGGGGAAGTTTCCGAATATCCAAAATTATGTCGGGCCTGCATTAAAATCGATTCCTTTTGTGGGCAAATTTACAAATTCATTTCTCTTGCATAGATTACAATGAGAATCCTTCTGGGCCGCTTAACAATAGGAATTAGTTTGTGGGCGGATCACAAACAAGAATTATTTTGTGTGGGTAACATGTAGAATCTTTATGTGCGTCTTTCCAATCGGATTTATTATGTGGGCGATTTGCACATAGGTTTATGTTGTGTATATTACATTGACAAACAGAAAGCCATCGCCCCGCCCATTTTTTTATACCCCCCCCCGCCCCAGCCCCTAAACATTGAAAACGGAGGGGGCGCCGTTTTTTGTATCGGGAGGTTCAACATTTGTTCTGGCTCCCTTTCAGAGGAAACCTTTTTGGGGCATTGTGTGGATTACAATGGAAATTCTTTTGTGCGGTGTTTCAGTCGGATTCCGTTTGTGAGCAATTTGCACATTGATGTCTAGTTTGTAGGTTATGACTCGAATTTGTTTTGCGCCGATTGTCAGGAGAGTTATGTTACACGATTCTATACGATGAAGACTAGGAGACCTAGGGGGCAACGAAACATGAAGAAATAAAAGTACACAAACCGAGTAGTCAAACAACTTCCGAGTTATCAACATACACAACGAAAATGGTCCCCAAATAGACCCAGATTTCCACTTTGCCCCCCACCGCTTTTGCGCGCCAGCGACGCTAGCTGGAGCGCGATACGCAGCAAAAGAAACGACACGGCTTGTGCACAGAAAGACCATGTCGTGGAGCGGACGGCATCTGTGTGCGCGCTGAAACAGCACGGTGATCAATCGCCTTCGCCGGGGAGGCCCTGTGTCGCAGCGGCGCGCACAAGCGTCGGGGACAACGAAAGGTGGAAAAGCATAGGGGGGAACGCATCGACCCCCAATCGCCAATCCATCGCCGACAGGGGCCCAATAGCCCCAACTTGCCCAGGAATATATGGAGTTGCTATCGGGGGCCTATCGCCGATCTATCAGCAATGTACCGCCGATCCCATGCCGATGTTTCCCCCCTGTGCCAGTCCCTACCTATCGTTCCCCCTCAAAGGGGAAGGCGCGACTTGTCAGACCTACCCCGGCGCTTCCAGGAGGAGGCCCCCGCGCATTCTCAGAAGCTCCCCCGTTCTCTCATACAGGAGGCCGCCCCCCGCTCTCGCACCGCTCCCTGGCACGCGCCGTGTCGCCGCGAGGCCCGCGTCGCCGGTGCTGGCTCCCGCGTAGGAGCAGGTGGAAGATCTAAATTTTGATCTTAGGTAGAGTTTAGATCCTAGACCTTTTCAGGGTCTGCAGATGCCTGAGGCCCAAAGCCAGGGCCGCCCGTGCGGGCCCCGAAGGGAGTTCCGCAGCCGGCGGCCAGAGAGTCGCCTTCAGCCACGGCCAGCGGGCCCAGGGCCCGTTGGCGGGCGGGGGGCCAGGCGATCGCAAGAGCCAGGGCCCCAGCAGGGCCTACGGGGGTGAGGCTGAGGGCTGCAGCGCCCCCCCCCCCGTTCGGTTTTTCTCCGCCTGATCCTCTGGATTATTTGAGAGTCATTTGGTTTCCATCAGGAGTCCTCGGGATGGCGGGTCCAGCAGATGTCGTAACGAGTCCTACGCATTCCATACGGGGCCAGGAGGAGCTCCCACTCAACATTGGGGACTTCTGGAAGAACCTAGGGCTTCACTTCAGGAGCCGAAGCATTTCGGGATATTTTAAGAGGTATCCTCTGGAATCTTGAGGCCTAGTTTATGAATGCATTCAGGAATCCCGCCGAAGAGTTGCGAAATCAAACGTGTATGGAGGAGTCATAAGGATTCCTGTATGAACCCGAAGCCTTTCTTCTATGGATGTTCACAGGGGCCCTGAGGATCAATCAAGGCATCCTGACAAATCCCGTTGGGACCCCAAGCATTTCCAGAGGAATCCGATCGGACGAATCCGAAAGCTTCCCTCAGGAATCTTGAAGACGATTCCGGTGGCTCAGCCAGAGCATCGGTTCTGAGTTTCGCAGAAACGTATCGTTGAACACAGTGCGGACCAATGGCCACACCCAGACGGCACATGACCTTCACTCTCACTCCTGCACGCGCCTGCGGGGGGCTCTGCGGTACCAGACGGTCTGTCGAGCCCGTCTTGTGCTGCTGGCGGCACCCCTGAGCCTCTGCTGCGCGCAGCGGGAAACTTTTGCCAGACAGATCGCCGCGAGGGGGCGGCGCCACCTCCAGACCCCGAGACGTCCGCGTGTTTGCACACCGTCGGGCCCCAGAGGTCTCGACCCGTTCCCCGGGGCCAGCGCCTCCTCTCGGGCAGTCTTGTTGCACGGCCCCGAGGCCCGGCGAGGGCCTCCAGAGGCCGGAAGCAGCGACCAAAAGGCCCTTCGTGATTCTTCCAGGACTCTTAGGCCTCCCAGATTGGGTCGGAGTAGGTGGGGTCGGAGGGTCGCAGCGCATCGCCGCTGCAGCGACGGTGCGGCTGGATGTGGAGACCGTGTTCGCCCACGCCGACGTCGCCGTTGCATCGCCGGCGTCTCCCATGCATCGGCGAAGCAAGGGCGATGCGGCGCCATCTTTCGGCCCCATCTACTCCGTCCCCATCTAGAAGGCCTCTAGGGTTCTGACGTTCCAGCCTACTGTAGCTTCGACCACCAGGAAGATATTTCGAGCTCCAAGAAGGCACCGAAACTGGAGGGTGTTCACATGTCGGGCCTGGGAGGCGATACTCGCTCGACACCGAGTCGATCTTTCTGTGGGTGCTCGAAATCAATTCTGGGATGTGGCCCTCAAGCACGACGGGAGCAACATAACTCTAGAGCGGGGGTCTGGGCACGCAGCCCCGCGGCGGGCCGGGCATGGCGGCGCTGGCGGTGCCTCGCGGCATCCGGGCGCGCCCGCCGCAGCCTTGCGCGGCCCCGCGGCGGGCACGCGGCAGGCGGGGCGCCAGCACCCTGGGCACGCTGGGCGCGGCGGCGGTGGTCCTGGCCATCTCTTGGCGGCGCGCACGAGGGGGAGCAGGGAAGAGGAGGAGGAGGAGGAGGAGGGAGGAGGATGGAAGAGGAGGGAGGAGGAGGGAGGAGGATGGAAGAGGAGGGAGGAGGGAGGAGGGAGGAGGGAAGGGAGGAGGAGGGAGGAGGGAGGAGCAAGGAGGGAGGAGGGAGGGAGGAGGGAGGAGGATGATGATGATGATGATGATGCTGCTGATGATGATGAGATGATGATGATGATGATGTTGATGATGATGATGATGATGATGATGCTGATGATGATGATGATGATGATGCTGATGCTGATGCTGATGCTGATGATGATGATGATGATGATGATGATGATGATGATGATGATGATGATGATGATGATGATGATGATGATGATGATGATGATGATGATGATGATGATGATGATGATGATGATGATGATGATGATAGGAGGGGAGGGAGGAGGAGGAGGCGCGAGGAGGGAGGAGGGAGGTGGAGGAGGACGGGAGGAGGAGGAGGAGGAGTGGGAGGGAGGAGGAGGAGGAGGGAGGGAGGAGGGAGGAGCGAGGAGGGAGGAGGGAGGCGGAGGCGAGAGGAGGGAGGAGGCGGAGGAGGAGGAGAGGAAGAGGAGAAGGAGGAGGACGAGGACGAGGAGGAGGAGGAGGAGGAGGAGAGGAGGAGGGAGGAGGAGGAGGGATGATGAGGAGGAGGAGGAGGAGGTGGAGTGGGACGAGGAGGAGGAGGGAGGAAAAGGATGAGGAGGAGGAAGAGGAGGAGGAGGAGGAGGAGGAGGAGGAGAAGGAGGACCAGTGTAAACCCAAGAGTCATCAAGTATGTTTGAGTAAACCCTCTTTCCAAGCTCCCTCTTCACAGGACCCTGCAAGGGCTCAGGTCCCCCCGGCTTCTGCAGAGCCCTCGCAGGAGGCCTCCAGGCCCTCCCGGGAAGGCCCCGGCCTTCCAAGGAGCGCGCCGCCCTCTCCGAAGGCCCCGCCCCCCGCTCCTCGCGCTGGCCAGGCCTCGACGAGGAGAAAAACAGACGGCATCGGCATCAGCGCTCGACGGTCCGCGCGGAGTTCCGGAGGCGACGTTTCGTGCTCTTTGGACTGATGTTTGATGTTTGTGTGCCGCTTCTGCTTTTCTTCCACCGTCCTCCTGTAGGAGGACGTGCCCGACCTGAGTCTGCGCTGGGCCCCCCTGGCGGCACCTCCGCCGCCGCCGCTGGCGCGCTCCGCGCGCCGGGGAGCGGGGGTCCGGCGCGGATCCATGCAGTCCGCGCGGACTGCGGAGAGTCTGTGTTTGTGCCGTCGTTTTCTGCTTTCTTGGCATCGCTCGGACATGTGCATTATTCCTTCGGCGAGGACCATCGAGGACCATCCTGGATCATCTGGCGAAGAAGCTGCGCACGAAACCGAAAAAAGCGCAGGGAATGGACGTCCGAGCGATGGCCAGTTTCTGTCATCGCTCGCAGGGCCTGGCACAGCGGCGGCGATGTGGCCGGCGGCCCGCAGGTTGACTCGGGCAGCAGATCACGGGAGCCTTGCATACCCTCGTAGCTCCGTCTTTGCAGCGCACGAGCGTCGAACAGCGTTTGGTAATCGATGAGATAGTGACGATGAGCGTCGACTTCGCATCGATTTAGCGTCGACTAACGTTGACTCGCACGAGCCAGTTCGATGGTATGGGATGTTCTCATGAGAGTTACCACCGAAGGTTGACACCCCGGCGTTCGTGCTGGGGGACAAGTTCGCCAAACAGGCAGCGCCACCCACGTGCTCCTTTGCGATGGGTTTCGCCCTGTACTTCTTCGGCGGGGGGGGGAAGGCGTCCGAGACGGCGGCGATCGTCATGATTTATTTTGGCGCACAGACTGGCATGAATCTCTACATGAAGAGCGTGTTCTCCCAGGTGGTCGTCGAGGAAGGGTTGAAGGGAATTCCAATTGGATTACTCTTGTCGTCAATCCAGCAGTTCGTAGCGTTCATCACGTTCTGCGTATTCCTCTTGGTAGGCAAGCTCTTCAGCATTGGATACCAGGTAAGGAAGTTGACGTCAAACAACGAAATCTTGGCGGTCCTTCTGTTCAGCGTGTCGTTTGCGCTGAACATCGGCCTCAACAATTTCAGCTTGTCTCTGCTGGCGATATCCATCAACATGCTCATCCGGTCCTGCCTGCCGCTCTCCACCCAGATCTCCCAGTGGCTCTACGACACGGCCACTTCCAAGGAGAAGAAGGCCTTTGTGCCGCTGGAGTTCAGGAGGGGAAAATCGACAGACACAAATAAGCGTCGATTCCAGAGAAAATGCATGAACATATGGAAAGAGACGGGGAAGACGATTATCCAGAAAATATGTAAACAGATTGGGAATCCTGGGATCTATGCCCACTTATCTGATGTTCGTTGTGGCTGCACAGCTCCAGCACGCTCGTGAAGAATTACGTGTTCTCACGGGCTTCCTTTTCCGACCCTCTAGTCGTCCCCACGCTTCCATGTCTCAATTCGTTTCTGTGCGCCCCTCCGCTTGATTTAAGTCGGGCATGTCGGTTACAGGAGGAATATTCAAAAATGGTTCTCAATAGTCTGGGGATGATTTTTTGATTACGTTTGACTAGTATGGGGTATTTTTCAAACCATTTTCCATGTTTCGCCAAAATCCGCCTGTAGCAGGACATGCCCGACCTAACGCTTGCTAGACCGACGCCTGCTCACTGGGGTCTGCGGACCGAAAGTCCCTGGGTCCCTTCAGGAGTGGCTCCTGATGCTGACTGGGGTCGTCTGTGCCGCGCTGGCCACCTATGCCAAGAGCCAGGCGACGGGGGGCGGCACTGGAGACTCCGCCGCCCTGGTGATGGGCGTCATCGTGTGCGTCGCGAGCATCTTCTCCGGAGCACTGAACATGGTGTTCAGAAGAGGAAACAGAACCATGCCGCTAGCCGCGTCTCGTTTTCCTTCTTTGGGCTTCCTGAGCGGCACTCGTCGCCACGGCTGGATTCGCCTCGAAATCTTTGTCAGAATAGGTCCGGGGAGTGGCGGTATCGGTACCTTGTGGTTCCCCCAGGTGCTGGCCGGTCTGCTCGGCACCCGGCACGAACGAAATGGGTACGGAAAGACTGGGACCGATGCCCAAACAGCAGTTCTTTTTTCATTTCGAGCAGGACTCGCCGTCCTCGCCGACGAGGGAGGGTGACCATTCTGGGACAGAAGGCCGCCTGCCCAACAGCGGCCGCTGTCGGTTTCGGACAACACATGGTGTGGGGCGTCGTACCTGTTTTTGTCCGCACCAGTTCCGGGCGTTCGCAGAGGCACGAAGATGAAGCTGAACGCCGTGGACTCTGTGTGCTACATGGCCCTGCCCGCGGGGCTGGTGCTCCTGGTCCCCGCGCTGCTCGTGCCCCACCCGATGAGCCGGTGGGAGGGCTTCGAGGGCAGGTACATGACCGACTGGGAGGTGCTCGGCGAAGTGATGGACCGCAATCCCATGCGAAGAAGAGAAGACTGCATGAACACAAACGGTGGGAAGGTCCGCGTGGATTCTCTCGGATCTGCACGCGACCCCCTGGCGGCGCCTCCGTCGCCGCCCCTGGCGCGCCCCGCGCGCCAGGGAAGGGGGTCTTGCGCGGATCCGAGAAGTCCACGCGGACCTTCGAACGTTTACCGTTCTGGAGTTTTTTGTTGTTCTGCCCATGGCGATGACTCCCGTGCTATTCTCGGGTCTCCTCTCGTTCGTGTACAACATCCTCCAGTACTCGTTGGTGCACAAACTGTCGCCGACGTACGCAACGTTCGCGGGGAATTTCAACAAGGCAGCCACGGTCGCGTTGTCTTTATTGCTCGGGCTGGAGTCTGTGCCAGCCGGCGGCTATGGCACCCTGTTCCTCCTTGCAGTGCTCGGCAACCTCGGCGCGTTCACTGGGTACAGCCTGCTCAAAACGAAGGCAAAGTGAGCGTCTGTGCTGCAGCCGCTACTGGAGCCTCTCTGACTCCCGTTCCTCTTCACTCCCCTTTGCGTCTCCCTTCGCTTCCTCTGGCTTTCACCTCTCACCAGTCCGCCCTGGGCGGTGGCAGTTCGGCAGGCCGTCTTGTGTGCGGAACGTGTACGCCATGGCGTGCAACGCACGCTTGCAGGTGCGATTTCAAGATCGTCCTCCGGCGGCAATTCAGTCGACCTCTTCACTGCAGCAGGCGTGTGAATCGAGGTGGTACAGCGCGGCTCGATCGGGCCTCGTATTTAACAGTATTACTGAACAGGAAAGTTCTTTGCCCCATGCTCAGTTTCGGATTGAGGGGAGTTGGCGACCTTACAGCGCCTGGTGCCACCAAAACCAGAATACCGAAACTATCGTTCAGGATCGTTCTAGCGAATTGCGGAGCTGAGCATACCATGTTGGTTAAACAGATTTGCGGCTTATACCTTAGCTTAGTCCGTGGTTCCCAGAGTGAGAGTCATCCAAAGCGCCCTGCCAGCCAGTGCGAGGAGGAGGAGGAGGAGGAGGAGGAGGTTGGGGGCAGGAGGGGGAACAAGAACAGGTCAATGAGGAAGACGGGGAGGCAGGAGAGGAGGAGGATGAGTCTTGGTGACAGGTTGGGAGCGTCAGCCAGTGGCATGTTGCTTGTCACTTCCTGTCCGCGCCTCAATCTTGGAAGCAGTTTTGAAGCTTTTGGGGAGCCGCTTGGGAGCCTTAATAATAGAGGGATCCTTCTGGGCCTCTTGGGGCCCTCGGCCGTCTTGTGGACGCCTCTTGGCTCGTGGGCCGTCTTGGGCTATGTCGGGCGCCTCTTGGACCGTCTTGGGACCATCCTGGGCTGTCGTGGACCCCTCTGAGGCCCCTCTTGGGGTCCTCTGGGGCCGTCCAGAGCGCCTCTTGGGCCGGCCTGGGGCTGTCTGGAGCTGTGTCGGGGCTCTCGAGGGAGCCGCTTGGGGCGTCTTGAGGCGATCTTGGGCCGTGTGGAGGCCGTGAAGAAGCAGAAGAGGAAGAAGAAGGCGAATCCTTAAAGCACACGTTTTCCAAATGGAACGGGGCGATGCTTGCTTGTAGGGCCCCTCTTGGAGCTTGCGGGAGGAGTCATGGAGGCTTCGTGGGCTGTCTTGGCGCCATCTGGGCCCACATGGGAGCTTTTGCGAACCGTCTTGGAGCCCCTCTTGGCCTGGTCGAGAGCGTGGGAAGCCTTCTGAGAGGCTTGCCGCAGCATTCGGACAGCTGCACGTTTTGCGCGGAGCCCCTCCCCCCAAACCGGCCAGACCAGGCTCCAGGAGGAGGGGTCTGGGGAGGGGGAAGAGTCACACGCCGACTGGACCCCAAGGGGTCGGCGAATGTCGGACATTCCTCCGCTGCTCTCTGAGAGCAGGCGCCAGAGAGGGGTGCTTCCTTGTAGTGGCCTCTGCGCAGGCCGACGGGCTCGTGGGGCAACCCGCACTGACCTGACCGATCGTGGCAGCTGAATTTTGGAGCATTGCCCCGCCGTGGCTGACATGGCATGACCACGACATGACCTCTCGGGGGAGAAAAAGATACGGATACGTGTTGTCCACCTTCGTTTTCGGCCTTTCCTGGTCCTCCTGGGGAATCCTCGTTGTCACCGCTGGATTCGCCTCGCAGTTCTGGTCAGAACGCACCCCAAGAGAGGTCCGGGGACAACACGTATCCGTATCTTTCCGCCCCCCCAACCTCGGACGACTGACATGGGTGGCCATGGATCTGGATACGTGCTCCGATGGCATGTGGCATGTGTAAGTGAGGCAGTGAGACGTGCTCCCAGAGGACATCCGGCAGAACACGGCAACCTGACGCAACGACACTCCAAGTCCAGAACACTCTCCGGCCGCTGCAGTTGTCAAGGAATCGCGCTCTCCGTTCCGGTTGCGCCAGTAGCGTAGTTCCAATGGGATGATTGAATCCGGCGGATCGTTTTTGCCCCCATGTCCTCCATCAATCACCCCTGCTTTCAGGTCTTGTTCCATCGCTCTTTCTTTTTCCATTGCCCCCTCGGTTGTAAGTAAAGTTGTCGGTCGTACTGTTCCCACGTGTGCCCAACGGATCGTGGGTAACTACCTGGCCGAATCATTTTGCGAGGAAGAAGACGAAGATGACGAGGGGTAGGACGAGGATTCGGGCCAGGAGAAGGACGGCAGCGACGAAAGCGAGGACGATCAAGCCGAGTTTCGACCGTGCAGTCCGACCGAAGTTCACGGACGGGATGCTCTCTGGTCTCACCGACGGGAGGTCTCGTTCCCATCCCTCACACTGTGAGAGGGAGGAGGAGGAGGAGGAGGAGGAGGAGGAGGAGGAGGAGGAGGAGGAGGAGGATCTCAAGACCTATCCGCTGCGTCTGGGACTCTTCTGGGGAGGGGGCGCGCCCAGGCCGAGGCGCAGCAGACAGCGGCCACAGCCTGGCCTCCCAGGGCCCAGGTGCTTCTCCTATATCAAGGGCGCCCTCGAGGGCGCGAAGTTATTCGCGCTTCGCGCTTCGCGGTTCGGCTCCGATTCCTCCTCATCCTCTTTTGCTCCCCTGGGAGGCGGCGCGAGAGCGCGAAGTTATTCGCACTTCGCGCTTCGCGCAGCGCGAAGCGCGAAGTTGGGAGCCCTTGTATATCCACTGCGCCCCTGGTCGCTGGGGAGGGGAGTCCGAAACTCCAGGACGCAGTGGACGTGGATACAGATCCTGCCCGCACGTGCGTTCTGCCGCGGAGCGTTGTTTGACGACCCAATGGCCTCAGGAGCACTCTCCGGAGGCCTGAGGATCGCAGAGGCTCGGGAGCTCCCATCGTGACTCTTCCGCGGCTCCAGGGCGTCTTGGTTTCAGCGCCCCTGCAGCTGAGCTCCGAGTGTGCCTCTCTTGTGCTCGCCTTGCCCCGGCTGCTCCCTTCCTCCCCATCCTCCTGATGGGCCGATTTTCCACCACCGCTACAAGAGGGAGGAGGGGGGAGGAGGAGAAAGAGGAGGGGGAGAAGGAGGAAGAGAAGGAGGCACTCCCCATCCTTCCCTCTCCTCCGCGCTACCTACGGTAGTGGTGGTGGAACATAGGCCCGTTACCTCCCTCTTCGCTCCTCGCTTGATCCATTCTCGCTCATCCCAGACATCCGACGCCTTTCCATTTTTCCACAGTGCGTCGCCCCATAGGTCTGGACCCCTTCCCGGGGACTGGCTGCTCCTCCCAGGGCTCATTTTCGAAGAGGCCCCGGGGCCAAGCGAGGAGCCGAAGACGGCCCAGTGGTCCAAGAGCCTCCCGCCGTGAGTTTTTGTTCACCACGCGAGAGTAGCAGGATCCTTGCTCGGTCCCTCCCTTCGTCCTCTCTGGGCCTCCTCCTTAGGTGGGGGTCGGAGCAGATGGGGTCGGAGGATCGCGCTGCATCGCCGATGCATCGGCGATGCATCTGCGATGCGGCTCGATGTGGGGCCCAAGTTTCTCCACGCCGACGTCGGCGATGCATCGCCGACGTCCCCAGTGCATGGCCGATGCATTGCCGATCCATCGGCGAGGCATCGCCGATGCGTCGGCGATGCGGCGAGGTCCTCACACCCCATGTGCTCGGACCCCATCTAGGAGGCCCCTATCCTTGCCTGGTTGCCTCCCTTCGTCCTCTGACCTGCCAGAGCGCGAAACAATAGCCCGCCAGACCTCCTCTAGACTTGTCTGGACGGGTCAACATCTCGACTGGAATGTGGACGTCGACGTCCTGGTGCTCTTTTTTAGCCCTCCTGGAGGGTCAGGGTCTCGATCGGGGAACGGACAATGACATGCGCAAGGTCCGCGCGGGTTTCCCAGATCCGCGCTACACGCCCTGGCGGCGCCTCCGGCAGACCGCGCAGACCTCCGAGTCTGTCATGTGTATGTCTTTGCTCCCCCCGGCCTCCTCCTCGCTCGCCCCCCCCCCTCCCGCGCGCGCCCTCCCGGAGAGAGGGGCTGTGCATGAGCGGGCTCTGGGGCTGCTTCGACGAGTTCAACCGCATCGAGCTCGAGGCCGCTCTCCAGTGGCTTGGGGGGGGTGGAACACACACACACACACAGAGAGGGGGGGGGGGCACAAGCAGTCGTCGATGCCCATGACACTATGGGAAAATATTTCGGTTTCGCTCGGACGTGTGCATTTTTTCGAATAGGACCATCGAGGAGCATCCTGGATCATCTGGCGGAAAAGAAGCACGCACGGACCCGAACAATGCAGGGAGAATGGACGTCCGAGCGATAGCAAGATATGGGAAATGGGGGGGAAGACGAAAGTCCAGAAAATATTGAACGGGGGAGTGAGAGCAGGTGTAGGAGGAGGAGGAGGAGGAGGAGGAGGAGGAGGAGGAGGAGGAGGAGGGGATCCTTGGATTTGTTTGTATACTGATCTGTATGTGTCCCTGGGCCGCTGTCAGTGGAGCGTGGGCGGGGGTCACGGCGGGGAGGAGCGAGCTCGGCAGCAGCGCCATCTCTGGCCCTCGGCTCCTCCGGCCCCCGAGGGGGGCACCTCCGAGAGGCGAGAGATAATCCACAACAGCCACCGCCCGGGTGATTTCGATCTGCGGACCCTGGGGGGGCCAAGCATGTCCACATCCACACTTCGACTCGAGAGCGTTTTCTCACGCATTGTTTTGCCGATCGGCGCGGGCCCTCGCACCCCCTCCTCCCCCGCCCTCATGGAGCACATCTTGGCTGTTTTTGGCGCCTGTTTCAGCCTGTGTTAAGCAGGTGGAGTCTTCCCCTTAGGACGCACGGTTCCAAACATTCCACTGAGTAGAGGTCCGGAGCCCCCCCCCCTTCGACCAATGGCGAAATGCCGAACAAGAAATCTGACTCCGACTCACGTCCATTCGATGTCGATGGATTCCGATACCGATTCGATTCAGCTTCGGATTCCGATTTCTCGATGAGGCCTCCCTGGCGTGCCGACTTCCGCCGATTCGACTTCTCCCGACTCGGCTGCCGATCTCCGCCGATCCGACTCCATTCGACCGCCGATCCGACTTCGATGCTGGGCTCTCCGGCTGCAGCCGCTCGCCCAATAGCGCGCCCAGTAGCGCGCCCAGTCGCGCGCACAGCGGGCATCGTGCACCTCTCTCTCCATCCTCCTCCGCCGCCTCCTCCTCCTCCTCCTCCTCCTCCTCCTCCTCCTCCTCCTCCTCTCGCATCCTTCATCTTCTTCGGCAATCCACCGCGAGCTCCTCGAAACACGAACGGCGAGCGAAACGGTGGAGAGATGCAAGAGAGTCTGTGAGCACCCTCCTGCTCATCTGGCCAGGACTTGTGCCCTGGCGGCAGCCGGTCCGTGGCACGAGCCCCCCTCTCCTCCGGCATCTTTCCTCGCGTTCCTCCCCTGATTCGGGGGTCCCCAAACGGGGTGGTGACCACACCGTGCGGTGAGTCGGTGGGGATTTGGGGTCACTGCACGGTTTTGGGACTCGGGTCGTTCTCAGAGGATGTCTCGGGCGACAGGGGCCTCCGGGGTCCCAAGACCGTGCGGTGACGGACCGTGCGGTGAGGTCTTGGGGGATTTCAAGGTCACCGCACGGTCTGTCACCGCACCGTTTCGGGACTCCAAACTGACCTTCCAGGAGGGCTGAAAAACAGCACCAGGACACCAACGTCCACATTCCAGTCGAGGCTGTAGGCAGCACGGATAGGTCTACAGGTCTGGAGTCCAGAGGGCTATCTATCGGCACTCGGAAAGGTCAGGGTCAAAAATGCAGCATCGCACGACCATCGCCACCAGAGCCCTCGAGCCCTCATCCTGCTGAATTGTTAGTAACTCGGTCGATCTGCGACCCAGGCCCGAAACCGGCGAGATCGCGCGGTGCGAAAACACGGCAGCGCCCGGATCTCGAGTTCCCCAGATCACCCGTGACCTACTCTTTCGAGGACGAAGCGGTCGCAGCCGAGATTCGGCCTCCAGTCGCGGATGCTGGTCACGATCGAGCCGTCGCCGTCGGTGTGTATCCCGGGGCCCCTGCGCGCCGTCTCTGCTTGGCCGGCATGGCACCCCCTCCGGTCGCGATCGAGATGTGGCTCGCCCGAAGTCCGAGACCGAGCATGTCGGGCGGGGTCCTAGGGTTAAGTCGGGCCTGCCACTCTACAGGGGGAATATTCAAAAATATGCAACAAATAGTCCCCTGAGTATTTTTTTGTATTTTGGGGCATCTTTTGAATATTTGTTGGGTTTGTTTTATTTTTCGTCCAAAATCCCCCTGTAGGGGGACAGGCCTGACTTTACCCTAGGGGATTCCCCCCGCTCAGCACGGATAAATGAGCCCCTAATCCGAATAACGCAGTGAAGACGCAGCCTCATTTGGGTCACAGTCTCTTTAGTAGGGATCATAGATTTGGGCGGGGTTTTTGATACATCTGCAGAAGAAGACCCCCTGTCCCTAATGTGTTTGGCCCACCTAACTTGGGTCCCTTCCCAAAGGATTGGGGGCCCTTTTATTGCTGGGCCCCCGCAGGCCTCCGGCGCTGCTTTTGCGCGACGGCGGTTCGCGGTCCGAGGCCATTCGCTC